GCGTCCCCCAGCGTCGGAGACGCCCTGAACCTCGGAGACCCTCAGCCCCTCACTAGAGGGGCTCGCGGCCCGGTCGTCTCGAGGTAGCCGTGAGGCCGGGACTTGGCCCCTGCGTTGCATCACGTCGAGACAGGTTTGCCCAGATTCTCTGCGTGCGCGGAGACGGGTTCCGCCCCGTGCCTGGGTGCCCGTTCTGGCTGTCCCCGGCCGGCCGGGCCGAGCGCAGGCTGTTTCCGTCTTTCCGTCCGCCCTTCTCCGTCGCCTCTTAATGTGGAATTTAAGGCTGTTCGGGGTGATGTGTTCAGGTAGGTGGCTATGTAGAGACTAGGGCACGTAGGAGGAAAGCAGCACTAGTCTCTAAGATACTGGCTTAGCCCAAGTGCGGATCATTCATTCGTACGGGCCTGGCTTCTTAGCTGTATGATATAAAGCAAGGCAATCGTGTTGTTTGTATGGCCTAAGCAGCAGAACTTCTAAAACTGTTTCCTAATGACTAGGATATACCTTATGTCTGCCTTCTATGTGTCTCCTGCTGGAAAGTGCTATACTGTGCCTGGGTAGACTAGACATCCAATAAATGGTGTAGTTATTCCCGAAAAGTGTGCTACAGTTTTTCCAGGTGATTATGTTGCTGCTGGAAACATGGGCAGTAGACAGTATACCTCCTGCTGAAGCATAGGAACTGGAGGCAAGTTTTACTTGATCCTTAAAGGCAGTCACAGAATCATTATGTGTTAGATTTGGGGAGGATCTTACAGGTGAATGATCCACCCCATGGTGATCACTGTTTCCCAAGGGGACAGTCCCCTGTTAAATTAGGTTTGTCCTAGATGACAGTGGGGTATTGCATATTACTCTGGATCTGGAAACCAATGTTGTTCTTATTTGGACCAAACAGGAACATGCCCCCACATATTTTTGATGTCCCAACCATTTTCATGTGTATCATAGTTAAAGAAAAGGCAGATTTGCAGAGAGCTCTTGGAAGTTGTTATTTATTGGATGTAAGCCAACAGGTGCGCGGCAGAACCAAGATCCTCATTCCTTTGACTTAATTGCTGGGTGGCTTTATGTCTTAGCAAAACAGCAGTAATTGGCACTGGTGGGGTATGGGAGATCTGGTACCTTCTGTGGGTGTTATAGACTTGCAAAAGACAGCTTTTTGCCGATCAGGTAGGGACATTTGGTACATAATCCTCTAATGATTTGCTTCTTAAAAATTTAGTAAAATGTTGCTGAGTTTTGACCCTTTTCACCTTCAGCCTTCTGATTGGTGCAAATAGTAATTCAGAGAAGGGCCTCTGCTTTTCCTGGGGACACTGCCAGAGCAGAGAGGTTGCGGTTCTTCCAGCTCAGCTTGCCATTTTTCCTTTGCCTCTCCCTCTGTGTTTTTAGTAAATGACCCAGTGACTTTGTGAACTTAAGACATGCTTTCTTATCCACTGCTTAAAGCTTTGATGGAAGATTTGTTTGTGAAATATCCTTTGCACTCTCCTTTGTTGCATTTGTATGTATTGGTTGGCAAATCCTTGAATGCTTAATCTTGCAGTTTCTGTACCTCAAGACAGTTGGAAAAGGTCATTTCTTGGGGATGGTCCTGACAGGACCCAGTTAGCTCTGTCTTACATGCTCTCCCTCCTGTTTTTTCTTCTTTGACTACTAGTTTTGTTGGAGAGAATCATTTTGTACTTAAGACAACTCATTTAAGACACACTTAAATTGACCCCTTTGGATCTTTAATTCCCCATAACCCTGAGAACAGTGCTAGACTTTCTAGTGTTATGTGGGCACAGTGCATTCTGAACCTGGCGTCCCCATAGTCAAGTGCTTAGATGTTATGTTAGTAGCAACTGTTACAGTCCATGTCTTCTGCATTTCTGGCACCAAAGCTGAGCTGTGTCACTGAATATTCTGAATCCTAGCCAAGCACTGGGCACCTAGATTCCTGTAGTCATTTAAAGGTAGAAAAGAAAATTGTGGAGTCAAAAGATGGAGAGGATAATGAAAGGAAACTATTTCAGAAAACGTTTTCTTCCCCTAGGTTTTTATAACAATGTACTATAATAATGTTATATTGTATTTCTATAGTGAGTGTCAGATTTAGTTCTTAATTATTTTGGAAGTCTTAACTTTTGGTGGTATGTTTGTTTTCCTATTTCATTTTAAGGTAAAGTGAATTTTGGGGACCGAAGTTTGATGACGCAGATCACTGCATTTCTTTGTGTGGACTACCCGTTATGAATCCTTTCTGGAGCATGTCTGCAAGCTCTGGACGAAAAGTAGGTATAGCTGATAAAGTTAGAGAGGAACCATTTGCATAAGAATAGAGGACAAATAATTCATACTGAGGTTGCCCTGTAATCTAACAAGATTATCTGGTTTTTCTAGTTCAGGTTTTACTTTTGAAGAAATGATGATTTTGTTGATTAAAGTTAGTTTCTGAGAATAAGACAGCATCTCAAATAAAAACCATTCTGGAAATCATGATTGTAAGGCTATTTTGATAGGTGGTACTTATATACGATAAAATGTTACACATTGCTATAGTAGTTTTCTACTAAACTGCAAGATTCGATGGTTAGGAAAGCCTTGGGAAAGGCCAGTCCACTGTGGTCAAGTCAGACTTGACGGCACTAGTTTAAATTTTTCTAACTAAAATATCTTTTTTTTAGTTGCAAAGTAATACATTTTAGGAAAGCTGAAGATACGCAAAGAGAAAATAAATATAACCCATAATTCCACCTCTGAGAGCACCACTATTATCTTTTTTCTATGCACATGACACATGACATACATTTTTAATACATCTAATTAAACAGCCAAGATGTTAGTTTAGTCTTGACTCACCTAGGCCTTTGTCTCTACTGCTGATGACAGTTTATGGTGGACAGAGTCCAAATGGAGAAACGTATTCATTAGGGACAAGATCAAAATCAGACTGGCTGCAAGTGAGAGAAGAGATCCTTCCTTGCTAATGTCAAATAGTGACTCACTTCATCTCCATTGATTTTGAACTGCTTAGCGCCTGACCTTCTACAATTTACAGCATCAAACTGCCCAGGAACTTTTCTAGTCTTGTACAGTTGTCTAATTGTTTAGTAGCTCCTTGCCCTCTTTTGGGGGCCTCCAGGAGAAACCATTTCTTTCTTTGTTCCACTTAAATCTTGTGAATGTTGGCTTTACCATCTGTATAGGATGCAGTTAACAAGAGTTTTCTGATGCTTTAGTCTTGCTTTAGCTTTGTTTTGCTCTTTATAATGGCCTCTGCGCAAAGGCCTTTCAAGTCATCTTGATCATGGTGCTAGAATGTCCTTGTGAAAGAGGGATTCTAGCTTCTAGCTCAAGGACTAAGAGGACATCACATGTACTCTTGCGATTTAAGAATCATCCTAACAAATGTTCTCACTTCATCTTGAATAGCGTTCTGATGGTGAAGAGAAGACATTAACAGGGGATGGGAAAACCAGTCCTCCACGCACTGCTCCAAAGAAACAGCTGCCTTCTATTCCCAAAAACGCTTTGCCTATAACTAAGCCTACATCTCCTGCCCCAGCAGCACAGTCAACAAATGGCACACATGCTTCTTACGGACCCTTCTACCTGGAGTACTCTCTTCTTGCAGAATTGTAAGTTCTTAAAGCTGTTCGGTCCCATTTTGAATGGCTCTTGAAGGTAAAGCATGAAATTTATTTTGATGGACTGGACTCAGTAAATGGCAGCCATTTAATCTAAAAACTCAAACTCATTACCCCTCCAGTATCAGCCTTGATGTTTATAGAAAGATGGAGGCTACTGCTAGCAATATAATCTTAAACAAGGCCAAAGGAGTGTTATATAAATATCTTCTCATAAATGTAATGATTTAAAAAAAAATTTTTTTTGTTGGTTTTAGAGAGGAAGGGAGAAGGGGAGAGAGAGAGAAACATCAATGAGAGAGAACATCGATTGTCCACCTCCTGCATGCCCCACACTGGAGATCGGTCCCACAACTTGGGCATGTGCCCTGAGTGGGAATCGAAACGGTGACTTCTTGGTGCATGGGTCGATGCTCAACCACTGAGCCACACTGGCCGGGCTGATTCTTATTTAGAGCTTGGTTAAATGAGACTTAAAGGCAAATGTGTGCTTTAATTTCCATGTCTGTTGTGAACAAGAGGATGAAGTAAGGTTTATTAAGCACCTGTAGTAGGCCAGGAACTTAATTTTGGTCTTCTTTCATATGAAGTGACAAATTCACCTCCTGAAGAGGTTGTCATAGAGCAGGGGGTGGGGAACCATTTTTCTGCCAAGGGCCATTTGGATATTTATAACATTATTCATGAGCCATACAAAATTATCAACTTAAAAATTAGCCTGCTATATTTGGTCACACATTTAACTCACCCCTAATGTTGATGGCTGGAGCGGCTTCTCTTTGATGAGGCATATGATATCAGCTGGTATTGATTTCTCAGGCCTCATGTGGACGTTCCCTGCCCTTCGTAGAGGATGGGACAGTGGGATGGTAGCAGTCTATTCACCCTTAGGTCAGATCCAGACGGAGGCTTTGTGCTCTGTTCTGGGGATCACTTTGTAAGAGGCATCTTGTCACTGAGGAGGTCAGAAAGCCAGGCCTTGGGAGTCAATAATTGAAGGAACTGGAACTATGGAGTTGGAGAAAACTTAGGAAGTACGTGACTTCATACATTTAGAGGTCTGTCACTAGAAAGGGGGTTTGACTCCCCAAAGGCTGAATTAGGCAGTTATGGGGAAGTTAGAGAGATGTGGGCTCTGTGGAGGAAGAAGCTGACTGGTCACAGAAGCCGGATTGGACTGCGTTGCACGTGTCTGCGGAGGTGGGGAGGTGAGCACTGCTGCAGAGTGGGGTGACGGCACAGCGCCTGGCCCATCAGGGCTCCCACAGCGCCTGCGTGCTAGTGGCATGGGACTTGAGAATCTGTTACAAGGGCAGAAAGTTTGGAGAATTCTTAATTTCAATTATTTAAAAATTCCTTTGTACACAGCACTTGATACACCATGCTCTGCAGCCTAGCCTGTGTCAAAGGCTTGTGCTGTGTGGTGGTAGCTGCGTTGGAGAAGCATAGTATGAAAACAAAAGCCACGAGTCTTTAAGCCCAGTGTGTCAAGACACACACTGACGTATAACTCAGTGGCACAACTGGAAAACAAAATTCCTTTCTACGTGCAGTTATTTTAAAGGCACCCTTGAGCCCCCGTCCCTGCACTACTATAGTCATGTGAGAGGGTCTGAGGCCACAGTGTAAAGGGCTGAGTGTGACGTGGTGGCAGGGGCCCTTGGCTATATAAGGGTGGCCTTGTGTTGGAGGCTAGGCAGTGTGTTGGACAGGCTTCATTGTGGCATTGAGTCATCTGTCTGATCAGAACACAAAACTGCCTTTCTGGCAAACTCGACTGGTGGCTACATCTGCAGCCATGCTGCTGTGGACGTGGTGAATGTTAGTGACTTAAATGGAATAACTACTTCAGAATGGTTAAAAATAAGTGTGATGGCAAATAGGTAATAAAAACTATCAACTAAGGTCCAATAAGCTACTTTGTGATTAAGATTCAGGATTGGCAGGTTAATGTGCCTAAAGGTTCTAGGTCAGCATTTTTCTTTTCAAGGTCTGGTCACAGCCTGACCTGTGGAGGCTCATCGCTCAGCTGCAAGGAGCAGCACAGCATGGCTGTGGGTGGGGGAGGGGCCCAGGAGAGCCGGGCAGTCTTTGCCATGCACTTGTCTGCCTGGTCTCATCACACTCGGTTCCCCACACTGGGCCCAGACAGCAAGTGTCTGTGCCGCGGGGTAAATTCAGGCACAGAACACTGCAAATAAATCTAAACGTGGCCTTCTGCTGCACGGACTGGTGATCAAATGGAAAGTGACACCCAAGCCAGGGCAATCCCATGGAATTTTCTTCTTAATGACTTAGAGTGGTGTTTAAAAATGGCATCTGAAAATGTGTGGGTGAGCTCTGTTGTCCACAGTCACGAAAGCATTAACTTTACCAATATTCTCATTCACCTCAAAGATGTAATGTTCAGAACTTAAATCAGGTTGCATTGTTCAGAATTACCTCCAGTTTGGTTTCTGAGATGTTTTGGGGAAGTGGGTTTCTGGGAGGAAAACTGGATTCTTGTGTATCCTTGTTTGGCTTGAATCTTTAAATCTGGGGCCCTTTCTGGTGAAGCCAGTTAAGGGGCAGTGGTCAGAGCCAGGTGAGCAATTGGGGTAACTTGCTTGTCGGGTTAGAGCATCAGCTGCCCCTTAAAGGACTATCTCTCCTCTCCGAGCATGAATGTGGGGTGGTTTGATCTGACATTTCCACTGTACAGTCTCATCATTCTGCTGCTTGTTTCAGTACCTTGCTTGTGAAGCAGAAGTTACCAGGGGTCTATGTGCAGCCATCTTACCGCTCTGCATTAAGTAAGGACCACTCCTTTTATAGCCTGTCTACAGCGTATTTGCTGCCTCTGGCACAAACACAAGCCTTAACTGTTCTTGTCTTTTCTACAGTGTGGTTTGGAGTAATATTCATACGGCATGGACTTTATCAAGATGGTGTATTTAAGTTCACAGTTTACATCCCTGATAACTACCCCGATGGTGACTGTCCAGTAAGTAGGGGCTCTAGTCTGGCTTCATTTGCTGGCCAGTGAGGAGGGCTTAAAGGGCTTTAAAGATTTCTTGGTTCTTTTCCTGGCCCACCACTTTTATGATTTGCTTCCTAAAATGTCTATCTACTCTGCAGCCTTTTGGGGGTTGTGCTTTACTGTGTCTGTGGCCATGTCAGCCTCCGCCGGGAGCTCTACGTGCCCTGCCCGGGGCCAGCAGCGAGCTCAGTGGGGACTTCCCCTCTGCACACTGATTTCACAGGGAAATGGTGAAAGTAGTTAAGTATTGCTTTTGAGGCAGCTCTCTGACAACACAGCTGCCTTGTCCTGGCGCTTTCTCTACCACTGTCTCTCTGGGTCCATTAACTCCATCACTCCCATTCAAAGATACGTCTCTCTCTCTCTCCATATAGCGCTTGGTGTTTGATATTCCCATCTTTCATCCGCTAGTTGACCCCTCCTCAGGTGAACTGGATGTGAAGAGAGCATTTGCCAAGTGGAGGTTAGTAAATCAGTGTTTTCTTTAGTGACAGAGGCCATGAGAGGAAGCCTTGGTCACAGTGCCATGTCTTCCTGTAGGCGGAACCATAATCACATCTGGCAGGTGTTAATGTACGCAAGGAGGGTGTTCTACAAGATCGACACGGCCAGCCCCCTCAACCCGGAGGCCGCAGTCCTGTACGTCACTTTGCTTTGTTGTTTAAGATACATTTGAAAATGCAGCTGAGTAGGTTATGTTGGTAACTTTTTGATTTAAACTTTTAACACAGGTATGAAAAAGATGTTCACCTGTTTAAAAGTAAAGTGGTTGACAGCGTTAAGGCGTGCACAGCACGGCTGTTTGACCAGCCTAAAATAGAGGACCCCTACGCCATTAGGTAAGTGGGACATAACCTAGATAACCGTGCTTTGCAGTCCTGCGTTTCCATGTTCCAGGTGGTCTTAAAATGGAGAGTTACAGGGAGAGTGTACTTGTCAACAAGATTTCTCACACCTCTTCATCTCCTTCCTCAACCAAAAAGCTTTACAGTAACTGGCACATTGTGCCCATAGGAAGCTGTTTAGTGACTTTGGTTTCCTAAGGATGCTTGTAATGTGCTCTTTCAAGTGCCAGGTTTTCAGGTGGCCGTTTTAGTGGGACCCCCTCTAAACTGCCACAGCCTGTCAACATTCAGATTTCGTGAAAGGAGGCAAGTTGAAGGAGTGGGAGAGGAACTAGTAGGGACAGTGGGTTCCTGGAACACTGTGATCCTTGGGGACAAGTGTCAGGAGGAGTGCTGAGACCTGAAGAATTGGTGATTTACCTCTCTGCACACTGGTATTGCTGGGGAGGCTGTGTAGTGCAGTGGTTATGGGTTTGGGCTCTGCAGACAGACTGGTCGGCTTTTGGACTTACTGGCTTGGGTGACTTGGAGCAATTACTTAATCCTAGTGTGCCTCACTGTCTTCATCTTTGCATAATAGTGCTTCAGAGGTGGTTGCGAGGCTCAGTGAGCCACCCCAAGGAAAGTGCCCTATAAAGGAGAGTTCTCGTGTGAGGAAATAATTTTGATAATGTCTAAAACTTACATATTGACAACTGATTAAAGATTACGCCTTAGACCCTTGTTAGGTTTTGTTTAGGCAATTGGTTTAAGTATTAGAAAATGGACGTTACACAAATTTAGTAAGCCAAGCAGTTTTTAAATCTTTTCTCTTCCTTAAGCTTTTCTCCATGGAACCCTTCTGTACACGACGAAGCCAGAGAGAAGATGCTGACTCAGAAAGTAAGTAGATAACTGTTTTTGAAATAGTTAACTCCCTGTTTCCTTTCTAAAACGGTCTTCACTGGAGACTACTCATTCCGCACAAACAACTTTTGAGGAAACGAGTTTGTACAGTACTGCAACCTCCTTATCAGTCATTTTGTGATGTCTGTCTGATTGTGCCTAGAAGAAGCCTGAAGAACAGCACAATAAAAGTGTTCACGTCGCTGGCCTGTCATGGGTAAAGCCTGGCTCAGTGCAGCCTTTCAGTAAAGAGGAGAAAGCAGGAACAACTTAAGAGCCGGTGAAGGAGAATCGGGTGCACCAGGCCCTTTCCTGTGGACTCAGGCCAAGCTCCAGATGCCCGGACTGCTGCAGAGTAAACTGTGAACAGTGACTGCTGTCAGTGTTGTCCGTGTGTGAACGGCAAGTTTCGGAAACCTCTCTTTAAGTAACGCATTATTACTTCTGTCAGAAGTGTCTTTAGGGTGGTTATCTAGTTCAGTACTCCAAATTATTGGGGACCTTGAGGCTTAAGTATTTTTCGGAATATAATGCTAAAGGTAAGTGGCATTCATTTAAAACTAATAGAGTTTAGCACTATCTAATGATTAAGTCAGTGGTTGCAGTTGTACACGTGTTAGGATGTGGAGAGGAAAGGTGTAGAGAAAGCAGGTTCCATAGCCTATTAGCGCTTTTAGTGGAAGACCACCTGACCCTCAGTTTTCAGCCTCCTGTCTGATTACAAACCGCTGTCGCTGAGGTGCATGTTAGGGGAGGGAGAGGAAACCAGAGCACTGGTTCGTAGTGTTTTTTAAAGCAAATTACTTACTGTATTTTTATGGCAGGAGGGAGAAAAAGTGTTAGGACGGTTTCTAATGAAGTCAAATATTTAAGTGATGCTAATGTGTTTTGTAGAGACAAAATAAACCAATAAATGATGGTCTTTGTCATTTATGCAGGAAACTACCCTTTTCTCAGTATAACTGAACAAAGATTAATTTATAAATGCTTTATTGAAAAATACACTTATTTTCATATAAAATTACAGTAGCAGTAAGTATCTGGAGAGGTTTTATAAATATTTTTGCAGAACACTATTCTAACTGAACAGTGTAAGTTCCATATTTCTTTCAGAGCAATATGAAGTTACCTAGTAACTCTGTTTATACTGATTCAATTTACAATTGAATTTTCTCCCTAATAAGATTATTCATTCAACTTAAAAACTGCTGGAACAATACTGATTAATAAAGTTATATATAGATAATCCAATAGCTGTTAAATAACCTTTTCTAGTTTGTATGAATGGTACTATGTACTCATGAAAACCTACCCCCTGCAACCTAAACTCTTTTTAAACTGCCAGGAACACACCCAAAGGTTTTTAAAAATATATCACCTTAGTAGACACGTCTTTTGGATAAATACCTCCTAAAGAGGCCATAATTTTTCATATTAATTCCCTTAATTCAACTTGATTTCATATCTTCACTTAGCCAGCTGATCCCTACTAATGGGGGGAGACCTAGAAAATTTAAGTGCCCCAAAGGTGGCTACTGGGGCTTTAACAGTGCTAAAGAGTATGAAAGCATCGGAGAAGATGTCGAGTGTCTAGCCTGGCAGTTTTGTACTTCATGGAGTTCACACTGTAGAAAGTGCCATCACAACATACAGCGAAACCTGGGTTACGGAATCATGCTTTTTACAGCCCTAAAGTGCCACTTCTTACACAAGTTCACTCACACTGCACACGAAACACTCAAGCACTTGTCACACTGCACCACATCTGACGGGAAGGACATACACCAGGACCGGGAGACTTGGGCCATCTCCCTTGTTATGTTTCAGAAATGCAAAATTCTCACACTCATACCAAGTGTTTCAGGACAAAATACCTAGTTTTTGTGTTGCTTTTCATGAGAGCCAGAGCAGACCACAAAATAGGTAGGAATGGACTGAAATACAGTTCCTCTGCTGGAGCATGTCAGCAGAGACCTCATACACATACTCAGCATGCTTTGTTCTCTACAATACCTGTAAAAGCTTTGCCAAAGAGTTAAAAAATCCTGGTTTGGATTCTAAGCAGCTTTGATGGCAAGCACTGAGTGGTAGGAAAAAAGGCAGATGGGATGAGGAAAGATTAAGGAAAAGAGCCCCGTAATCTAGCATGCATTAAATGATGCTGTTAAACAGTTTGTGAAAGGAGTTTCAATACAACAGACTAACCTCAGTGGGAACCTCGGTCATTAGCTACATCTTGGAGACGGCGTATTAAGGCAGAATGATTTTCTGGGCAAATTCTTTTGGCAGGTGATTCACTTCCGTCTTCTAAAAGAATCCCTCTCTTTTTGGTTGGAGTTTCTCCTGTCCGTATCATACTGTTAATTTCTTTTAGTCTCTAGAGTGAGGGAAAATAGATATAAAAACTTAAAAATGCTAATACACATAATTCAATGCAAGGCAAAGAACGTCAAATGAGTTGTGGTTTACCTTGAAGAGTTTGAGCATCTTCCTAGAGAAAAGAACTACTAAACTACACAGCCTCCCGACGTCACTCCTCAGCGGCTGAGTCTGATGACTGGGGTGGCACAAGAGTGGTTTGCAACAAGCAACAGACATGAACTGATGTTCACTTTTCCAAAATGTAAGAGTTATGTCATGACATTGCTATGCCATATTTAATCAATTTCATATATTCCCCTTTTCCCTTTTAAAACAAAATAGCATGATTTTACAAAGTATTGTGCCCATTTTTTTTTTTTTAGTCTAACAGCCATTCTCAACTGGAATTTCTCAAGAGAAGTAAGACTTAATTCCCTACAGCATCCTTTGTAAGTAATTTATTAGTATTCTGGAATGTAGTAGTTATATATTATCCTTGGGAGAACTGAGAGAAGTTGAGCAAATTCTCTGGGAAGAACGCCTATTGAGACAACATTGCCAGGGTGCTAGAGACTGGGGCTGTTTCCAGTGCCTTTAGCGTTGTTTCTCCAAAGCCCCCAAAGTCAGTTTATCGCATATTTTCTGGTTATAAAGTTCGTTCATGTGCTGCTTCACCGTCCATGTTTTCTATCGGAAAACATACTGAGCATATTCACATGCACTTACCAGGAAACTGCTGAGATCTTCCATGTCAGTCTGTATGGATTGCATCTCTAACTGCCACACAGTATTCTACATTATGTCTGGATCATCGTTTAATCCCCTCTTGATATATTATTGCCTCCCAATTATTTACTCTAAGCACTGTTACCACAATTTACTGTTCAACAAAGATGTACCAACAAGCTGAAACTGCCAAGTGTCACTAATGATCCATCATCTTAATTGATACCATTTTGTAATATATATGTATTTTTAAATCCTCACCTGAGGATATTTTTCCATTTATCTTCAGATCGAGTGGGAGAGGGACATATCAACTGGTTGCCTCCCGCACAACCCCGCCAGGGTGGGACCGAAATGCAACCAAGGTACATGCCCTTGACCGGAATCGAACCCACAACTCTTTGGTCCGTGGGGCCGACGCTCTGACCACTGAGCAACCCATCACTTTGTAATATTCTTCCTTGATCTCAGCTATCATCTTTTAAGTCATAATGACAAATATTTCTCCAACCAACAGTCTGCTTTCATTTACTGGAGAAACTCCCAATTCTCTGCTACTGTTTTTTCCCGAAATCTCCCCAGGTGGTGATCATGTACAAACAGGATTGACAGTCACTACTCTGGATGCTTAACCTAACATTCACCCTGGTAATTGTACAGTTCTACACACTTTAAATACACATGGTCATGTATGACCATGATAAAAATATAAAATAGTTCCTTCACTCCAAAAAAATTCCGTCATAGTCTTAAACTTACCCCAAGGCAAACACTGATGTTCATTGTTCCTACAGTTTTTCTTTTTCCACAATTTCACAGAAATGGAATCATACAGTAAGTGGCCTGATGCACTGAGTGACTTTCACTTAAGCATGAATGCCACTGAGATTCATTTTTTTGTTGCTAAGTGTATCAGAGCTTTTTATTGCAAAGTAGTACTCTCTGTTCTGTCTACCACAGGTTTGTTTATCCATTAACCAGTTGAAGGACACTTGAGTTGTTTTCTACCTTCTGGCAAATAGGAATAAAGTCAAACATTAATGAGCACGTTTTTGTATGAACCTAAGTTTTCATTCCACTTGGGTGAGATTACTGGTTATATGGTAAACGTATGTTTAACTTCATAAGAAACTGCCCACCTATTTTCCAGGTAAAATGGCTATGCTTTACCATTTTGCATTCTGATCAGCAATATAAGTTTCAACTGCTCCACATCACTGCTGGCATTTCTGTCATTTTAGCCGTTTTCATAGGCATGTAATAGGTGAAGTGTGTTCAAATCTTTCACCCACCTTTACATTTGGTTGGTTTTTGTTTTGAGTTCTGATAACCCTTTATATATTGCAGACACAAATCCTTATCAGCTGTGAGGATTGTAAAATTTTCTCCCAGTCTGGCTTGTTTTAACTTTAGAGAGCAGAAATGCTTAATTTTGATAATCCAATGTATCAATCTTTTATAGATTGTGCTTTTGATGCTGCATCTAAGAACCCATGGTCAAAAAGATTTCCTTCTATGGTTTAACTTCTCAGTTTCCTAGTTTTAGATCTATGGTTCATTTGGAGTTAATTTTTTTGTATATGGTAGAGAGTCTGGGTGCAAGTTTACTATTTTTGTATATAGATATCCATTTATTTCAGCACCAACTGTTGCAAAGGCTATCCTTTCTCCATTGAATTGCTTTTTTTTTTTTAATCCTCATCCGAGGATATTTTTCATCTTCAGACAGAGTGGGAGGGAGAGAGACACATCGATTGGTTGTCTCCTGCAAGACCCCAACCAGGGCCGAACTACAACTGAGGTACATGCCCTTTGCCAGAATCGAACCCGCGACTTATTGGTTTATAGGCCAATGCTCTACCACTGAGCCAGGTTGGCCAGGGCTCCACTGAATTACTTTTTTGCACCTTTGCTGAAAACCAGTTGGCCATATACAGGGTGGAACAAAAGATGTTTACAGCTGTTCCTATGGAAAATAATATAATAATAAATAATAACACAAGAATAAACTGCATACTCACAACTGTAAAACTACTTTTACCCCACCCTGTACGTGTGGTATGTTCTGGATCTTGTCCTATTCCATGGATCTATAAGTCTATAATTTCACTGGTACCACACTATCTTGATTACTGTAGCTTTATAGTAAGTCTTGAAATCAGTGTGCTTCATTTTTCCATGTTTTGTTCAAATAGAGTGGGAGGGAGAGAGAGAAACATCGACGTGAAAGGGACACATCGAGTGGTTGCCACCCACACGACCCAACCAGGGATTGGGGACAAACTGCAACTGAGGTATGTGCCCTTAGCGGGAACCAAACCCGGGTCTCTCTGACCCAGGCAGATGCTCTAACCGGCTGAGCCAAACCTGCCAGAGTTTTTCCATTAATTCTTAAAGAGGGAGTGGGGGAAGGGGAAGAAACATCGATTGGCTGCCTCCCACATGACCCCGACTAGGGCCGGGGATCGAACCTGAGACCCTTTGGTCTGAGGGACACTCTAACCACTAAGCCATATTGGCCAGGGCTTTCCAATTGTTTTAATGATTCGTTCCTTTTTATGAAAATGCAAATTTTGGAACCAATTTGCCAATTTATACAAATAATTCTGCCAGGATTTTGACAGGAATTGGGTTGAATTCATAGATCAAGTGGGAGAAAACTGAGCGCTCATACTGTTTTCCAGTTCTTGAATATATGTCTCCCTTTTCTCAATCTTTAATATTTTTCACCAAGATTCTATAGTTTTCAGGATATGAATCTTGCACATCTTTCATCAGACTTAACTGTAAGTATTTAAATTTTTAATGCTGTTTATAGCATTTAAAAAATCTTTTACTTCTAATTACTCATTGCTGATATATAGAAATACATTTGATTTTTGCACATTAATTATGGAACCTTTTTATCTTATTAGTTTAGGTAACTTTTTGTAGAATTTTGTGAATGCAGACAGTTTTATTCCTTTTCAATCTGTATGGCCTTACTGCACATGCCAGGACCTACAGTTACAGTGTGGAACAGGAGCGGTAAGAGCAGATAACCTTGTCTTCTTCCTGATCTTGGAGGGAATGCATTCAGTCTTTCACCATTAAGTATATTAACTATATAGATTTTTAAAATCTATATTCTTTATCAGTCTGAGGAAGTCCTCTGAGAGTTGGATTGTCTAATAGACAATAGGGCTATTAAGACTGCTTTTTTTAGTGCTTTGGAAATCTTTCATCTGTATTATCACATTTATTGGCACAAAGTTGTTTTCTATATTTCTTTTAATGTCTATAGGGCCTGTACTGATCTCTTTCATTTCTGATATTGGTAACTTGTCTTTCCTGTCTAGTCTATACGGAGATGTATCAGTTATTTTTTTATCTACCCCCCCCCCCAAAACCCTTGACATTTAGTGGCCTTAATTTTCTCTACATTTAGTAGTTTATGTCATTAATTCCTGCTCTTTTTCAAGTTGCTTAGGTCACTAATTTGAGACCTTCTTTTCTAATGTAGGTAGAGTTATAATTTTCCTCTTAAAACTGCTTTTGAATTCAAAATATTTTCCAATATTATTTTTCCTTGACTCAGAGAAATAATGGAATATAGTTTCCAAAAATTTGGGGGTTTTACAGATACCTTTGTTAAGAGCCACTGTGGTCAGAGAAGATGCATCATTTGAATCTTTTACAATTTACTGAGACTTGTTTTGTGGTCCAGAATGTGTTCTATCTTGGTAAATGTTCCATGTGCACTTGGAACATCAATTAGGTTGATGGTAATGTTCACAAATCCTGAATATCCTTACTAATTTCCTAATCTCTTGACTATAAATTTTTTTCTGTTTAGTATTGTAATCTTCTCTATCATTAGGAAATGACCTTATCACTGATAACTCTTTGCTCTTCAGATTATTAATATAGCAATGCAAGCTTTCTTCTGATTAGTGTTAGCAGAGTATAACTTTTTCCATCCTTTAACTTAAAAAACAAAACAGCTTTAATGGGATATAATTCACATACCATATAATTCCACTATTTGAAGTATATAAATCCATGGCTTTTGGTATGTTTCCAGAGTTGTGCAACCAATAACACCCCAGAAACTCTGTACCCTCCACTCCCCTTAACAGTAGGCAGTCATTAATCTACTGTCCGCTTTTGTAAGTTTGTCCATTCTGGACATTTCCTATAAATGTAATCATACACTATCCTTTTGTGACTGGCTTCTTTCACTTAGCACGATGTTTTCAAGATCCATCAGTGTTTTAGCATGTGTCAATACTTTTTTATTTGAGTGATATTCCATCATATGGATATACATTTTATTCATCAGTTATTGGGACATTTGGGTTATAATCCTATAAACAATTTGTATCTTTAGAGTGCATCACATATAAACAATAAGTAATTGGGTCTTGCTTTTTTAGCCAGTGTTACAATTTCTGCCTTGTAATTGATTTTAGACCATTTGTTTGCTATTTTCTGACATTCTTCCCTTTTTTTCCATTTAACTCTTAAATTTCAAGTGGATGAATGTTCCAAGTTATGGTTATAAGATGAAAATCTAATATTAGAGGAAATGGCAAAGTCATTTCATCCAACTCAATTGCTTTTTGGGGCTATTGCCATCTTTGTTCCCAGCTGTACTGTGAATATTACTGGTATTAGGATTCAACCTTACATGTAATGGTTGGAGGAAACGGTATTTTAATATTTGATCTTCCTATTCAGAAACATTAATATATCTTCATTTATTCCTAGGCATGTGATCCTTTGCTGCTGTAATAGAAGTGTTTTCATTGTATTTTCTAACAAACTTCTTGTTGCTATTTTATAAGATTTCAAGCTTACAAAGAAGTTGGAAGAACAGTATACTGAGTACCCATTAACTGATCAACATTTACCTCATTTGTTCTCTCTATAATCTTTTTCATAGTTGAACCACTCGAAAGTAAGTTACTGACACTAGAACAGTAAATACTTCAAGCATGTTGTCAGTACCATCACCAAAGAAATTTAACTTTACCACTTGTCCCCTAAATGTCCTTTACAGCTGAGTTTTTCTATGTAGGACCCATTGTGTGTGGTTGTTTTGTTTCCTTCGCTCTCCAACAGTACCCTCCCACCATCTACCATTTCTTCAAGCGTCCAGGTTTTGTTTTGTGTGTTTTTCTAAGCAATCTTTATAAACACAAATATCACATCAGGGCCTTTAAGATCCGGTTACCCCCTCACCACAGCATGACTGCCAGGGATCTGCTGCTTCCTGAACACCTTTCCTGTCACACTGCAGCAGCTTGCTAACTGGACTCCAGCTTCCCTCACAGACTAACGCAGATGCCGCTACGCAAATCTATGCAAAGATGACTATCCCACTGCACAAAATGTCCATGTCTTGCCTTCTTGCCTTCTACAGAAACAGGTACTCTGTAATCAGTTTAGAGATCCAAATTTTCTTTCCCTAACAAAAACTTGGGATTTTACAAATGGAATAAAATACAAAATCCCATATTTACTATAGAATGTTAAAAATGCACAAACAGGAAAAGGAAGGAATAAAAATCAAATTCCTTACTCGTTTTCGAACTCTAATATTCTCTCACAAAACAATGGTTTTTGCTCCACTGGGACTTCACTGGTCGCTTTTCCCTGGCCATTCCCATCCATCCTGTTTCTTGAATCCTAAGCATTTTGGAGTTAGAAACAGCCAAGATATATGTTAAGCTCACCTTTGAAGGACTGTTGCTGAAGTAGTAGAAAATCTTTTCTCGAGGAGAAAGCATCATTTCACTTTTATGTGGAGAAATGTAGACAGGATGATTTTGAGACAACTGTATTCGACGAGGTGAGCCTGTTCTCACAAATGGATAGGGAGACAGTGGAGGAGCATCTGTCTATTGAAAAACAACAATAAATCAGTCTTTCTAAGAGAGCTAAACGAAATTTCTTACCAAGCATTTTTTAAAGTAGTTATTTTTATTATAAGAACAAAGGGCTAATAAACCATAAGCTTATGAATGGTAAACAGTGATAGCAACAAGTAACCCTAAAGAAAACCATACAGCCCTGGCCAGTATGGCTCAGCGGTTAGAGCGTCGGCCTGCAGTCCGGAGAGACCCGGGTTCGGTTCCCGCTAAGGGCACGTACTTCGGTTGCAGTTTGTCCCCGGCCCTGGTTGGTCATGCGGGTGGCAGCCACTCAATGTGTCCCTTCACATCGATGTTTCTCTCTCTCTCTCCCTTCCTCTCTCTCCCTCCCACTCTATCTGTACAAAAAAAAAAAAAAAAGAAAACCATACAATCAGCAAACATGTAAGTGCTTACTTTGTGCCGCTGTTTTAAGTATTTTTAGTACATTATAAACTAGGGGTTACTCTTATTTCCATTTCACATAGGAAACAGGAGGCATGGAGAAAGCTAAAGACCTTGTAAGACAACACCCCCCCCCCCCCCCAGCTGCTAAGTTTTGGACAACTGGAACCCACGCACTCACTCTTTTATTGCTCTACTCTATAGGGAATCCAAATACCATCTTAGTCAAGTTTTTCTGTTAGACTTCCTCCATTTTACTTAAGAGAATTATTTCTAAAACTAGTTTACACACATGGAACAGCTCAAACAGAAGTGATTCCTCATCCCTCAAGTGAAAAAGAGTATGAAATAATCCCACCAAACTTACTATGTTTGCCTGTGAGTACTTCAGGGCAAATGTTTTAATTTGTTTGATGTAGATGTTGTTGTAGAACTGGATGAGGTCTCCCCTCTCCTCCTCCTCCATGTCACTGTTGGCACCTGTGAGACGAGTAGGTGTTGGAGGGGCACTGCTAGGCTGTGGAACGGGCAAGGTGCTGCTTGACCTCATGATAGGACTGGAGTCTCTGCTGGCTGTGGCAGGTAGAACAAAGGGTGTTGGACAGGAAGACTGCCTTTATCCTACCGAATTTTCTTTTTAAAATAACCTACCTGATCTACTTGTGTAATGGCAGCAAATGGGCACTTAATGTCTTGTGCTTTGCTCCCTGGTATGAAGAATTAAGTACTAATGTCACCCCCGGGCCATAAATGTAGGAAGGGCATAAGTGTTCACTAATAAGTTACACAAGTTTTCTAGGACCTGAGCCCCGCATTAAGTGGTGTAAACAAATAGGGATGGTATTTCCATCGCACGGTTTCGCCTGACATGCCAGACTTGTCTGAAATGCAGGCCAACAAATTCCTGCCTAATTCCCCTGGAGAAAAATGTTTTGCACAATGTGCGTCAAAGCTATGGGATAAAGGACAAACAACTTTGCCACTAAATTTAGAACTATTCCTCGTTCCAACAAATCCTCTACCAATAAAATAGTTTCACAGTTTCCTTAGTAATAATTTCATTTAGTAATCCTCAGTCTTGTAGGCCTAAAAATTAAGAGAAGCTACTGTACATTTTGTATGCTTTCATAAAAATCCCACTTACTTCTGTCTTTGTTCAGTTCTGTTGGAGAATTCTGATGGCTTCTGCTGTCACTGCTACCAGAATTTCTTCTTTTCCTTTTCCCTTTTATCAGAACACTTCTATACACCTTTAGAGAGACGATGAGAAAGGGACAAAAATTAGTACTTATTGAATATATCCTAGACTATATGACCTTGACATGTTATTTCTCATGATAGCCCTATGAAATAATAGTTATCCTCAGGAAGGTAAATAAATGTAGCTAAGGTCATATATCTATTAAATAACAGATCCAGGGTTGACATCAGGGTCTGTCTGAATTGAAATTCCAAGTATTGACTACAACACAACAGGGCAGTAATAGTACCCAACAATAAAATCCAAGTCATTCTAAATCAGATACAGAGATCTCACATACCTATGTCTTTAAGATAGATGGATAGTATTAAAGGTAAAATGAGTTCTAAAATTTCATTAAAGGTTGGTTAAATGTACTATGTTTCCTAAACCAAACAACTTCCTAATTTACATCTCTCCTATGATTAGCTGAATTAAGAAGTCAGTTATTTCTATCATTACCTTCTGGAGAAAAGAGGACTTAAAGTCTTAGTGTTTAACCTGGAAACAGGCTACAGAATCAACTCTGGTTTATTTTTTATATTCATGAAAGGCCTGAAGCTTTATTTTCAGCCCTGAGAGGAAATGTAGTTACCTGGCTCCGGGCCTGTGGCTGAGTCCTGTAACAACGCATAATATTCTGGAAGGACTTGTCTTCGTTTGTGACCTGGAAAAGAATTAGTATTTTGTGAGAGAGATTGACTTCCAGCAAAATATTCTATGGAGCACTATACACTGGCTCCACAGTGCAATTGGTGAAACTGTATGAAAAACCAATCACTTAAGTCTTTGGACATGGTCCTAGGGTACACAACAAATGAAGAAATACCTACTAAAAATCTAAAATTCAGCACCAACAGAAGTAGTAAGTATCTGAACCAACACATGGAATAAAATGTACAGTAACCAATTAAAATTTCACTCGAGGGGCAAACAGTAGTTCCCTTGGTAGACAACTTCTCATCAGACAATGAGGGCAAAGAGGCAGTGGAACAACATGTTCTAAGTGCTCAAAGTAAACAAAAAGCACTACACTAAAGAATCCAGTATCTAGCAAAGTTATCTTTTAAAAATGAAATAAATATATCTGAGAAAAACAGAATTTTCTGTTAGCAGACCCATCTTACAAGAAATACTAAAGTTCTTCAGACTGAAAGCAAGTGACTCCAGATAGTAACTCAAACACACACGAATATACAAAGAGCACTGGTGAAGATAATTATGTAACTCTAAAGGCAATATGAAATGTCTCCTTTCCTTCCTTCTCACAACTATAAAACAGTATGTATATGACATTGTTGGACCTGTAACAGAAATATGACACGTTGTCAAAAACAGCACTAAGAGGGTAGAGGAAGGCTGTATTGGGCTAAACGAATGAATCCAGATGATAACTCAAAACCACAGGAACCAATAAAGAGAATCGGAAAGAACAAGGTTAACTTAAAGCTTTACATCAGGGGTAGGGAACCTTTTTTCTGCCAACAGCCATTTAAATATTTATGACATCATTTGCAGGCCGTATAAAAATTAACCAACTTAAAAATTAGTCTGCTATATTTGGTTAGGCTAATTTGGTGAAGTGTGTGATGTTAGCTGTATTGATTTTAGGGGCCTCATAAGGCCTGCAGGCCGGACGTTCCTCACCCCTGCTTTAAATAAATATTTACACTTTTTACACTACTCTCAACTTCTTTAAAAGTCTTAAACTGTATAAAATAACAGAAATAATTGTTGAATTTCTAACATTTATGCATACAATATGTATTAGAATACTACCACCAAAAGGAGGAAAAGGAAACAGCTATTAAGAATCACACTTTTATATCTCATTGGAATTAAGTTAGTGTAAATCTGAAGCTGATTTTCGTAAGATATATATGTGGAGGTTGGGGAAGGTGGGGAGATAGTTGGTACAAGCTTCGCCCTGCTGGTATGGCTCAGTGGTTGAGCATTGACCCGTGTGCACCAAGAGGTCTCTGGTTCGAATCCCAGTCAGGGCACATGCCCAGGTTGTGGGCCCAATCCCCAGTAGAGGATGTGCAGGAGGTGGCCAATCAATGTTCTCTCATTGATGTTTCTCTCTCTCTCCTACTTTCCTCTCTCTCTCCTACTTTCCTCTCTCTCTAAAATCAATAAAGAAAAAAAAAGGTACAAGCTTCTAGTTTTAGAAATTCTAGGGATTAGGGATCTAATATAGAGCGTATTGTGACTATAGTTAACAGTAATGTATTACATACTTGGAAATTGCTAAGCGTTGATCATAAATGTTCTCACTACAAAAAGTATGCCTTGGTCAGTGTGGCTCAATGATGCTTAGAGTGTTGGCTCACAAACCAAAGGTCTGTGGATTCAGTTCCTGATCAAGGGCACATGCCTGGGTTACAGGTTCTATCCCTGGCCATGGTCAGGGCACATGTGGGAGGCAACCAATTGATGTTTCTCTCTCTCTCTAAAAAAAAAAGTAGTTACGTGATGGATTTTAACCTTAACTGTGGTAATCATAATGCAATATATACATGTATCAAATCATCACATTGTACACCTTACACTCTCGCTGTTATATATCCTTTCTCCCTCCAGCTGAGGAAAAAGATAGAGCAACAGATAGTGGTTACTTTAGGGCTCACCATATACACATCTAAGAAAATAAAAAAATGTGAAAGTCATTACTGACATTAAAATGCCATATTAGAAAGAAATTACCTGATACAAACAAAAGCGGTAAAGGAGAAATAGAGGACAGGAGACAAAAAAATAAAGGAAACATTAAATATGAATGGATTAAACACAAAGCAAAAAGTAAAAACTGTCAGACTGGAGAGAAAAAAGAGATCCAAGTATACTCTGTCTACAAGACACACTTTAGATGGGAAAACACTAATAGGTTTAAAAGAAAGGATAGAAAGGGAAATATGCAAACCACAGCCTCTAAAAAGCTGGGTGGCTTTACAAATATCATACTATAAAATAGACTTTAAAAAAATAAAAGTTACTAAAGAGGAACATTTTATAATGATAAAATGGTCATACGGAGAAAAATCACTAAGAAAATACTTTGACAAAGAAAAATTATGAACTATGCTCCATCAAATTAGACAGCCCAGAGAAAATAGACAAATTCCTAGAAAGATACAAACTACCAAAACTGATTCTAGAAGAAATATAAAATGTGAATAAACTCACCACAAAGAAAAGCACAGGCTCCAGTGCCTCACTGCTGAAGCCAAGCATTTAAAGATGAATTAATACCAATTCTTCACTAACTTCCAAAATGTAGTATAGGAAGGAACCCTTCCCTATGCGTTATAGGAGTCCACTGTTATCCTGATGACAAAACCAGACCAATCCTATTTCTTTCTAACAAAACTACAGACCAGTATCTCACAAATAGGACAAAATTCCTCAACAAAATAATGCAAACCGAACCTAGTAACATATCAAGTTAATTCTACACTATGAACAAGTGGGTTTTAATCCAGGAATACAAGCAAGGTTGGTTTACTGTATGAAAATCAGAACTCTTAACACAAGATAAATCTTGAAAACCTTTGATTTGGCAATATATTATTAGACATTATACCAAAAGCACAAGCAACAAAATAAAAACTATACTTCATCAACATTTTTATGCTTCAAATAATGCTTTCAAGTGAAAGACAACACACAGAATCAGAGAAAATATTTGCAAATCACCTCTCTGATAAGGGAGTTACATCCAGAACACATAAACAACTACAAGAACTTGAGAACCAAAAACCAAACAACCCAATTCAAAAATGGGCAAAGAATTTAAACAGATTTCTTTAAAGAAGATATACAAATGACCAGTAAGCAAATGAAAAGATTCTCGACATTGTTAGTCATCAGAAAAATGTAAATCAATACCACAATGAGATAGCTCTTCATACCACTGGGATGGCCAGACTCAAAGACTAAGATAATGAACAACAAACACAATATGACACTCAAGATCATTACTCATTAGAGAAATACAAATCAAAACCACAATAAGGTACCAGTCAGTACACACTAGGATGGCTAAAATAAAAAATGGAAAACAAGCTGGCAAGGATGTAGACAACTGGAACTCTCATGCACTGCTGGTGGGAATGTAAAATGGTGTAGCTGCTGTGGAAAAAAAAAAGGCAGTTCCTCAAAAATGAAACAATGTATGACCTAGCAATTCCATTTTTGGGTATACACACAAAAGAACTGAAATGTTCATTTGCAGCATTAGTCACAACAGCCAAAAAGTGGAAATATCTTAGGTGTCCGTCAATGGATGAATAAACAAATGCGGTATATACATATATGTAATATTTTTCAGTCTTAAAAAGGACGAAAAGTATAACTCATACTATAACATAGACCAATCTAGAGGACATTATGCTAACTGAAATAAACCAGTCCTCAAAAGACCAATGTTACACAATTCCACTTATATGAGGCACCTAGAACAGTCTGATTCATAGAGACAGAAAGTAGAATGGTGGTCACCAGGAAGTAAGGACAGTGGGAATGGGGAGTGAGTAATTAGTAAGTAGTAGTATTTTGCAGGGATGGGAATGTTTTGAATGTAGATATAGGTGGTGGGTGTACAACATTGTGAATACACTAAATGCCATTGAATTGTTCATTTAAAAAGGGCTAATTCTATTACATGTACTTTACCTCAGTAAATTATTTTTAAAAACAAACAGATAATAAAACAGTGCTGATGAGAATGTGGAGAAATCAGGACCTTCATTTATAGCTGGTGGAAACGTAAAATGGTGCGACTACTGGAAAGTCTGGCAATTCACTCCTAGATATGTGCTGAAATGAAAATATCCATACAAAATCTTGTGCACAAATGTTCATAGCCAAAAAAATGGAAATAATCTATCAACTGAAAAATAGATAAACAAAATACTATATATTCACACAACAGAATATGATGTAAAACTGACTGGTGATGGCTGCACAGACTGTGAATATACTAAATCTACTGAGTTACACATCTTAAATGAGTGACTTATATGGTATGTGAATTCTCTCTCTCAATAAAGCTGTTAAAAATGTTCTGAGAGTAAGGAAGTAGCACTTTTTTCCTTTTATATTCCAAAGTACTCACTTTTGCCATCACATAAATTGCACACATGAGCAACTGGTCCAGGTGTCTGTCCATCATAAGTTCAGGAGACTGAATTATAGAGAATTCAAAGCAGGTCCAGATTTTTTTCCTTAGTTCATCTGAAATATCCAGTTTAGTACAAAGATCCCGAAGGCGGACACCTGCTAAGTGGTAAACCTAGTAGATAGATAAAAACATTTCAGAATTTTTTATCTGACACATTTCCTCAGCTCATGACCTGTTTAGAGTGCACAAAAAATTACCTTTCTAAAGAAAAGTGATAATGAGTTGGTCTTCCTGGGTCTAATACGGCTGCCAGATGAAGATGGGCCTTGTTTCTGCTGTTGTCCCCCTGGGGAAATCTGCTGAATGCCCACCTGACCAGGGACTTGCAAGGTTGTTCCTGTCACCTGTTGGGAGCTCAAATTCCCAGCCAGGGCCTGAGCACTGAGGGGCTGGATGGAGCCTGTCACAGCTTGTGCCTGCCCTCCAACATTGACTTGGACTGGGAAGAATGTTATCCCTCCATTTTCATTGGCAATACCTATAGTTTATTACAAAGAAAAAAGCACAGAGGAAATGTTGATAATACAAGGTTGTCCAGGCAGGGGGTTTCCAATTCCTCTCCACTCCTCACACCCTTCCCCCCTAAAATGCTGGTCTCATCATCATTCCAGCCAAATCTCAGGTAACTTTCTAATAAATGCCAGAGAAAGAACTTGATATCCAACTCTGCCCTCCTTACCTTGTACAGGAATGGTCACAGTCTGTCCATTGTTGGCTGTGACAGTGGCTGTTGCCATGGTGACCAAAGTCTGTCCAGGAACTGGTGTGACAGAAACAGCCTCCCCAGACACATTCTGCACAGGGACAGCATTGACTAGGGGCTGTGGTGGCATGCGTCCTGGTGTTCCTCTGTCAGAGGGGCTATCATTCTCAACAAACAGCCGTCTTCTGGTAGAGCTGGCTGTTGGTGAATTGTACCTTTCATACAATGTGGTTGGAGATGTTACACCTAGGGTCAAAAAATAAAATAAAATAAACCATTTAACTCAGGGAGACTGAGATCGGACTTCCAACCAAGCTGTCATTAAGTATTCAAAAACTAATTAGTGCTTGAAATACCTCCTAATTTAAAAGCAAACAAACATATAGGAGTCACATCATAGCTACATTCAAGTGATAAACATTCAGCTGAACACTCTTCTGAGCAGAACTAAAGGAAGAGTTCTCTGTCCTACAGCACGCCCTTCTCACTCACCTGCTCAGTCACACTCGACGGCCCGCCACCACTGCAGGGCCTTGACGAGCCAGGGGCAACTAAACAACTGTTTTTCCATGATATTTCTGACCATATTCAATTCTACCTAACACTCATGTAAAATGTGATTGTACCATAAATCCACGACTTGATGAGGGGACTTGATGGCTCTGATATTCCTACGGTACCATCTGGCAGCATCCCCCCTAGTTTTATGAATCTTTGTCTTTGTCAACATACAGAAAATTACTAAAACTCAATATCCTTCAGAAAGCATGGACATACATGTTTTGGATTCAATTAAGTTTAAAAAAAAAAACTTTATTGAGATAAAATTCTCAAGCATTTCACCCACTTAAAATTGTATAATTCGATGGTTTTTGGTATATCAATTATTTTTAACTGTGGTAAAATACATATATATATATAACATAATTTGCCATTTTTAACCACTCTTTAAAAAAATTTTTTTTCTTTATTGATTTGGGAGAGAGAAGAAGGGGGGAGAGAGAGAGAAACATCGATGAGAGAGAACATCGATTGGCTGCCTCCTGCATGCCTCCCACGGGGGATCGGGCCCACAACCTGGGCATGTGCCCTGTCTGGGAATCGAACTGGCGACCTCTTGGTGCATGTCGATGCTCAACCACTGAGCCAGACCTGCCTGGCCATTTTAAACCAGTTTTAAGTGTACAATACACTGGCATTAATTACACTCACAATGTTGTACAACAATCACCACTATTTCCAAAAATTGTTCAACAGAAACTCTATTAACCATTATGGCTTTGTCAATTGTTAAGTATGCACACCAAAGTCTGAATTTTTGCTAAGTAAGCATTATTTCCCTCTTTCATATCCAGGTGTAAAAACTGTATCAGTGGGTTTTAAACAATTTTAAATATGTGTAGAAAGGTACTGAAAGGATTGACAGGAGCAGAACTGACCGACTGTGGCTTAGTATTTCAATTTTCCAATGATACAAAAGCAAATAAACTTACTAGATTTATATTTGGAATAAAGCTGCATAGTCGATCATTATCTTATAAAGTATTAAGAGATCACATGAATATGGAGAAGTGATAAATACAAAGAAAATGAAGTTGAAAGTCAAGTCCTAATCCATAGATTAGGGAAGAAAAAACTACAGAAGTAGGACAGAGGAAGACCAGCTGTCAGATCTATGGGTCTCAGTGAATAATCAAAAAAATAATTTATGATGCCTCTTTCAAAAATCAGGACATTTTCATCCACATTTACTGAGTATGCACTGACATACAGTGACTGCTGATTTTAAAACTGATCTTTCTTCTCTACAGCCAACACTTATCAATTACATTAAAAAGTTGATCGGGAAACGAGAATATCCTTCTACTGCATCTAAGGATTTAGAACTCTGAATTTACAGAATTGCTTTTTAGAAAGTAGTTTTATCTTAAGTATGTCAACTTAAACCTTATACCTGGCAGATGTTATAAAAAGCCACCTGAAATGTAATCAGAGGAATAGCAAAACTCCCCGTTTCTATACTTGTTGGGCCAGCACTGCTGTCACATTACCCCTGACAGCAAAACCCACTGATAAGAGTCAAAGGCAAACTTGCTCAGGCCATTTGGTCCCCTTCACTCACTAATTTGTCTGTACCTGACTGGATCGTACAGCTCTGTCTTTGAGAAGCTTTTCTGTTTCTTCTGATTTTAAAACTAATATACTTATCTTTAAAAATTTACAGCAATCACCTGGAATCGTATCACCCAACAATAATCATTCTTGGAGCTTAGTTTTTCTTTTCAGCCCTTTTGTATGCATACACACACACACACATATACACACATACATACATGTAAAAAATAGGAAATATTAATAAATCTTTTTGAAAGACATGTGTTGCCCTCGTCGGTTTGGCTCAGTAGTTAGAGCACTGGCCCACAGACCAGAGGCTCCTGGGTTCGGTTCCCACTAGGGGCACATACCTTGGTTGCAGTTTGTCCCCGGCCCAAGTCGTCTGGGTGGCAGCCACTTGATGTGTCTCTCTCACATCGATGTTTCTCTCTCTCCCTCCCGCTCTATCTGAAGATAAATGCAAAAATGTCCTCAGGTGAGGATAAAAATAAAATAAAAGATGTGTTATAGCATGCATTTTCCCGTGTTCTTAACCATTCTTCAAGGGCATTACTTATAAGTCATCCATGTGGCATTATAATGCATAGAATATTTTCTTCTATATGTCCTATGAACTTCACTTGCAGGTTTTGATGGAATTTAAATCCCCAGATGTTAGGCCCTCATATATTTGCCTTACTTAGTATTTTATTTTAAAATGTTTTTTCTAATATTTTTTCTTATTGATTTTAGAGAGAGAGGAAGGGAGAGGGAGAGAGAGATAGAAACATTGATGAGAGAGAACATTGACTAGCCACCTCCAGCATGCATTCCACTGGGGATTGGGCCCACAACATGGGCATATGCCCTGACCAGAAACTGAAGTGGTGACCTCTTGGTGCGTGGGTCAATGCTCAACCAGTGAGCCACACCAGCTGGGCTGCCTTAGTATTTTAAACTTACTTCTTCCAAGTCCTCCAGTATCAGCACGAATTTCACTCACTCTTCTGGGAGTCAAAGGGGAGCCAGCAACACAAATTTCATCTGCTCTTTCCAGGTTCTGAGGTGGCATGACCTATAAAGAATTGTATATATACCGAATGTCATTATTCAAAAAACATTATCATTAAAAATACAATAATAATTTTAAGGTAAAATAAAGCTGTCTTTGCTCATTAGTTACTCCATCTATCAGTTGCCTTTTCCATTTTCATACTAAAATTAAAATAAATTCTGGCAGGCTTAAAAAATTTCAAAATTTACTAAGTAGGTATTAAATATGCATCAATATTCCTTACTGATTTGAAGAATTAGAGTATCAAGCATTCTAAGGTACAAAAACTTGATTAAGAAATCAAGACAGAACACCGAATTCCTACTCTGTCACTGAAAACTTGGGGCAATCACGAATGACTTGTGGCTCTTGTTTCCTACTGGTTACAGTGGTGATTGTTCCACATAAAAACCCAGACGCTCCCCTCCCACTTGGCATAAGGAAGACATGAAGTTCAACTGCTTGCTGTAAAAGAAGATGTAGATATTAATATACTTTTGCTATAGAAAGATGTTAAGATATTTTCACAAACCTCTTCACATGTAGGAACTCTGTTTTCATTGTCTCTAATTCTGTCCCAGAGTGGTGAATCTGATTTCCATGCCAAATGATCCAATATCTGTTCTTCAATCTGATTGAGGTGTTTTACCACCTCTCTACAAAGGCCATCTTCTGCTCTAATGAATACTTCTATCACCTGAAATAAATAAAATGCCCTGGCTTAATTAACTATATATATGTATTTTATAAAAATTGTATAACTATAAAAAATGGGTAAATTTAATTTTTTTAAATTTTTATAGACGTAACATAAAAAATTACAAGTTTAAAGAATAGTACTATTTTAAAACAGCTGCTCTTTTACCATGTTTATAAACAATATTTAAACTGCATGTATGAGTTGTATAAGATACTTTTATAGTGCTGTATTTCAAACACTTTTTTTTTTTAATCCTCACCCAAGGACATTCTTGCATTTTATCGTCAGATAGAGTGGGAGGGAGGGAGAGAGGAAGAGAGAGACACATCGACTGGTTGCCACCCACATGACCCCAATCGGGGCTGGGGACAAACTGCAAGGGAGGTACGTGCCCTTAGTGGGAACCAAACCTAGGACTCTCTGGTCCATGGGCCAATGCTCTAACTGCTAAGCCAAACCAGCCAGGGCTCAAACCTTTTTAATAATATTTTTTCCTCATCTGAGGATATTTTTCCATTGCTTCTTAGAATGAAACAGGGAAGAGAGAAACACTGATGCAACAGAGACACACTGACTGGTTGCCTCCCACATGACCCCATCCAGGGCTAGGGATCAAACCTGCAACCCAGATATGTGCCCTTAATCAGGAATCGAACCTGCGACTGTGGGCCAATGTTCTAACCACTGAGCAAAACCAGCCAAGGCCATCTCAAACTTATTTTTTTTGCATTTACCTTCAGATAGCACGGGAGGGAGAGAGAGAGGAAGAGAGAGAGAGAGAGAGAAACATTGATGTGAGAGAGATACATCGAGTGGTTGCCACCCACATGACCCCAAACCAGGGCCGGGGACAAACTGCAACCAAGGTACGTGCCTTTAGCGGAAACCAAACTTGGTACTCTCTGGTCTGCGGGCCAACACTCTAACCACTGAGCCAAACTGGCCAGGGCCATTTCAAACTTTTTTTTTTTCATTTTATTTTAATTTATTTTTTTAATCCTCACCCGAGGACATTTTTTTTTTATCCTCACCCGAGGACATTTTTCCTTTTTTTGTTCAGATAGAGTGGGAGTGAGAGAAAGAGAGAGAAACATCGACGTGAAAGGGACACATTGAGTGGTTGCCACCTGCACGACCCAACCAGGGCCGGGGACAAACTGCAACAAGGTACGTGCCCTTAGCGGGAACCGAACCCGAGTCTCTCTGGACCGCAGGCTGACGCTCTAACCACTAAGTCAAACCAGCCAGGGTTCGAGGACATTTTTTCATTTTTTGTTCAGATAACGTGGAAGGGAGAGAGAGGAAGAGAGAGAGACACAGAGAGAGAAACATCGACGTGAAAGGGACACGTCGAGTGGCTGCCACCCGCACAACCCAACCAGGGCCGGGGACAAACTGCAACCAAGGTACGTGCCCTTAGCGGGAACCGAACCTGGGTCTCTCCAGACCGCAGGCCGACACTCTAACTGCTGAGCCAAACTGGCCAGGGCCATTTCAGACTTTTTTAAATGAAAGAATATGTCTTATCTATTGAGACTGAAAACATTACTTTTTAAATTTCTTATTTAAAAACCCTAAACATTCAATCTATGCCACTATAAAAATGTTTTGACTGCTCTATCTGAATTAAGTAAATTCATACACAATTAATATTAAGATGGAAACTACTACCAAATCAATGCCCTAACTCTGTGATATAACATGCGAAAAGAGAATTTTTGTTTCTGAAAAATACACTCAACAATATTTAAATTCCATAAAGTAAAAAAAGAAGATTACTATATAAGATTAGCTAGTGATATGCTTGCTATTTTTTTAAAAACCTTCTTAAGCTCATAAAATGGAAGTATTCTAAAAGTCTTTATTAAATAAACCAAATGAGGCTTTTACTGAGCTTAGGTCTTTATTGTATAGTAAAAGAATTTATATAGTTCTTAAGACTTTTTCTTCTCTGCTCCCCAAATACAGTAGAAATTAAACATGTAATTAAAAATAGAAGAACTGTACTTAGATATTAAAATGAACTAGATGGCTAACAACAGTAAGTTGGTCTCATTTATAAATTTCCTCATTAGTATCAGATTTTAAAAAATACCTTATAAAAGTGATAAAGTGGCACATCAAATAGTTCAGTAATAAATGGAAAATTCCCAGGAGGCTTATAAGAAAAAGTGACGACCTCGAGGCAGCAGGCCAAGAGTGATTTGTGGAATGCGTCTTGTTCCAGAATGCCCTATAAAACAATTAACATTTAGAAACATTAGTCTACTCTAACAAGACATTTCATATCCAGTCAAGTTAAATAAAGACATCAAAAGTCTTATTCTCTGAGTTAGTGAGAAGTATGTGCTTATTTTCTTCCAAAAGTTTTCTTAACTTTATAAATAAGTCCATTTTTTAGCAACTTTCAAAAATCTGACATATTATGAAATATAACTAATACAAAAAAATGTACATCTCTAACTAAAATATACGTACACTCTGATGCTTAGAAGAAAAATGATCTGGTAACATGTTACCAGACAGTATTTACATTAAGAGACCACTGTCATGAAAAGATGGGTGGAAGGAAGGCAGGTGACTTGGCTAGATGGTCATGGACCAGAAGTCAATATATTTGTTCAAGGTGACACTAATCACAGATGACTTTCACATTTACTTTTTTTTTTTCTTATTTATTTTTCAAAGTTGTACATATTTATTATTATTGCTATTTTTTAATCTTCACCCGAGGATATTTTTCCATTTTTGTTCAGATAGAGCAGGAGGAACAGAGAGACAGACAGAGAAACACTGACATGAGAGGGACACATCGAGTGGATGCCTCCCACACGACCCCAATCAGGGTGGGGGATGAATCGCAACCAAGGTATGTGCTCTTGACCATAATCGAACCCATTGACTCATTGGTCCATGACTTGACGCTCTAACTGCTGAGCCAAACTGGCCAGAACCATATTTATTTTTTTTAATTAAAAAGTCATGTAGACACAAATAGCATAGGCAATGGGCAAAATTAGGTAATTCAGACTTTATCAAAATTAAAACCTTTTGTGTGTCAAAAACACTATTGATAAAATGAAAAGACAACCTACAACATAGGAGAAAATACCTGCAAACCACATATCTGATAAGGGACTAATACCCAGAATATACACCAAAAAGAATTGAAAGCAGAGACTCAAATAAATACTTGTACACCAATGTTTGTAATAGCATGATTCACAATAACCAAAAGGTGGAAACAACTCAAATGTCCATCAAAAGACGAATCAATGAATAAACAAAATGTAATATATACATATATATGTGGTGTGTGTATGTATAATATTATTCATCCTTAAAAAGGAATAAAATTCTAATACATTCTACAACATGGATGACCCTTGAAAACATTATGCTAAGTGAAACAGGCCTTACACAAAAGAACAAATTTTATATGATTATATGTGGTACCTAAAATAAGTAAATTCACAAAGTAGAACAGAGGTTACCAGGGACTACAAGGAGGAATGAATGGGAGTCACTGTTTATAGGTATATCCTATGGGCTTGAGATGATAAAATTCTGAAGATGGCTAGTGTGGACGGCTGCACAACATTAATTGTTGATGCCAGTGAATTTGTACACTTAAAAATGCTTAAAGTAGTCAATTTTATGTATTTTTTACAATAAAATTTTTAAAAAATAAATTTCATAGGTGAGTATACAGGTATCTACTTACTATCAATCTCTAAACTACAGCTGTTTTATAATCCTGTATGTTTCAAAATTTGTCATAAAACAGCCTTTTAAATAACATATTTTTATATATAAAAAAGGAAATATAAAATAGGTACAAGGAATTAGAACAATTGGTCAGTTTTGTAATCTTCTTTAAAATGTTATTTAAAAATTTAAGTAAAAAATTTTTTTGATGCAACTGGAAGTAAATATCACTTATTTAAAGTCAATTTACATTTCTTGACTAGTGAAATCTAGAAAAAATAATTATCTTAGCCAAAGAGGAATGGCTGAATGTTTGTTAAAGTCCTACCTAGTCCATACTAAATTTATTCTTCCTATAGAAGGCTTGAATACAAAAATCTATGTTATTTAAAAACTCAGTTAGGTCTGATTAAAAAAAAAATTTTTTTCTTTATTGATGTTTAGCGAGAGGGGAAGGGGGAAGGGAGGAGAGGGAAAAAGGAAGGGAGGGGGAGAGGGGGAGAGAGAGAGAGAAAGAAACATCAATAAGAGAGAACATCAAGTGGCCACCTCCTGCATGCCTCCCCACTGGGGATCAGGCCCACAACCTGGGCATGTGCCCTGACCAGGAATCGAACCAGAAACCTCTTGATGCATGGGTCAATGCTCAACCACTAAGCCACACCGGCTAGGCAGGTTTGATTGTTTTAACCCTTGACTAGAGTTTTACGACCCACAGAAATTGTAAGCTGTAATATATGGTCTACTGCAGTGAGACATTAAGTAGGACTGGAGGTGAAATGAAAGAAGTCAAAAACAAGTTTCCTTAGGTGCTAATTTTATTCCCTCAATGCCATGCACCATCGTTTCTTTTCTTCATTATGGCCTGTTTTGTTTTTCTGGTGGCTAGGGCTGACAGAAAACTACATTTTACTGTGCTGATCAATAAATATATTGGTTATTTTACTCACAGATAAATCCATGTCTCCAAGTCTTTTTTGTTCCTGCTCAATAACAGATTCTAATACTTTATAGTAAAGCATCTCTGCAAAACGAAAGTGTCTGCTGGCAATTTCTGTATAAATAATAAAAAACAGAAATCACATGCAAATAAAATAAATATGAGGGTCCGTCCCATCCTTTGCCCACAAAGTAAAATTTCAAAACTGACACAACACTTCCTACAGTTGCTATTTAAATCATCCCTAAGATTCCTTAATTTTTTCATGGTAACACTTAAATTTTTCTAAAACTGTGAAATGGAATTTTCACATAAAAAAACAATAATAGCAGTCCATTAAGATTTACCTCCACACACACCCTTGGAAGTTTAAACAGAGCAGCTCTATGCTAAGAGGTATGTATACATTTGGTTTACTATTCCACTCATACTTGGTTTTAACTGACAATATCAAACAACTCCTAGCACAGGTCTGGCATGAAAACAGCTGGCTTCTGTTCTTGTTCTTAACATTCTGAAAAATCACAATACTTCTATATTTAATATCCAGTCTACAAATGAAAACTAAAGATTTTCCAAACAAAAAAGTACCAGAAGCTCAACGTAATAAACATATCAGTCTAAAATTTCTCTTACTGAGAAGGGCCCAGAAATCACTTGGTTGACAGCAAATTTAGACATCCATATTCTAGCCCTCAATCTAAAAGCATATATCTTCTCTTCACATTTCTGACTCAGTTACCAAGAAATGGCTCCATGTAGTTAAAATTCAATATGAGAATGATACAGATAATATTAAGCTTCACCTTTAGCACAATTACTGAAATCCTCATCTGGCTGGGAATTCTGAGAATATATTTCAAACATTTCTTTCAATCTGTTGGCAATAGCCTGGGTCGGATCTCTAGAACATGTCCTAAAAAAAATCAAAATAAAAAGAAATCTTATTTAAAGGTCTCGCTGAGTTGCAAAATGATAAACTGTTTACAACTCTGTATTCTTACTATCCTGTAAATATAAAATACTTTGAACACAAACTATACACCCCCAAACTTGATCCAGGAGATCCTTTAGCAAAGGTGCTGGTATTTCCATTTTCAGTGAAAAAACATTTCTTGTGTAAAAAGTCATACCTTCTACTGCAGTAAGTTTAGCAACCTTAACTTGTGCCCATTTGCTGTCCATGACTAGCCTCCCCACCCACACATCAAGTCTACAATCACTGATGACCAACAAAGCTGCCCTCAACTGTTTCCCTAGAGGGCAATACAACTCCTTTAAAACTCCTAGAAGAAAATAGAGTGAAGTAGTATATAATCTATACATTGACTCATAAAAACCACTACTGTATTCTACCTCTTTTTCTGAAAACAAAGTTTACTTCATTGATTTTGTTTTGTTTTTTCACTAGAAAGGTAATATATGTTCAATGCAGAAGCATACAGATTATCGCCATGTGGGCTTTTGTAACAATTATGTTTTTATCTTGATCATAAACATACATATTCATTGTAAAAATGTAGCAAGTTTAGAAAATTATAAAGAAAATAAAAATCAGTTATAATCCTGCTGGAGATAGTTACTGAATATCATATACAGACAGAATTTTATTTATGCACACAAACAGGTGCCTTTTTACAAAAACAAGTCCCTTTGGTTTTATGGTAGTGGTATTTAAATACCACTAATGGTGTTTAAGATTCAAGAAGCTGCTACAGCTGGTTAGAGATTGTAAAAAGATCTGGAAGATACAGAGATTAGATCAGGCTTCTAAAATATATTTATAAAATGCTTCTGAATTCTAGATAAACAAGATCCATTTTAAAAACATGACTTAGGAAGAGGCCACACAGACATAGCCTATTGGGTGTTAATCACAATCGAGTTTATGAAAAAAGTAGACTTCATGAAAAGTAAAGGAAAATAAGTCAGCCTTGGTATTTAGTGAGTCCAGCTATGAGTGGGAAATTACTAGTGTGTATATATACAGGGCCTTCTTATGCCATATCACTGAAAATAAAATGGGTCCTATAGGGTCTATGCCATCAAATCATAATCTTGTAGACTAACCTCCTTTTCAGGCTAAGGGTGTTTTATAGAGCTGAGAACAGTTAGTTGGTAACTTGGTGCTGGACTCCACAGTGTCTGGTGTTGCTGGCTACTGACTCCTGTGCTGTACTGAGGAAATCTGAGTGCTATCGACTGAATGTTTGTATCTCCCCAGTGCCCAAGCTCAGGTTGAAACCTAATTCCCGATGTGACGGTGTTTGGAGCATTTGGGAGGTGATGAGGTCGTGAGGGTAGAGTCCTCCTGAATGGAATTAGTGCCCTTAAAAAAGACCTAGGGCAGTGGTTCTCAGCCTTCCTAAAGCCACGACCCTGGAATCCAGCTCCTCATGTTGTATGTGGGCGTATCTGCATGTGGGCGGACCCACCTGGAGACGGATAGAGGAGCGGGGTCTCGGTTCATAAGACCATCGGAAATATGTGTTTTCCAATGGTCCTAGGCGACCCCTGTGAAAGGGTCGTTTGACCCCCGAAGGGGTCGTGACCCACAGGTTGAGAACCGCTGTGCTAGAGGGATTTCTGGCCTTCTTTAGCCAGGTGAGGACACAGAAAAAAGACACCAGGAAGTAGTCCTCACCACACATTGCATCTATTGACACCTTAATCTTTCTGTTCTTTATAAGCCACTAGTTTATGTATTCTGTTAAAGCAGCCTGAACAGACTGAGGAGAAATGATCATGTCCTAATCATACACCTTATATTGCTGTGTCTTCTATAGACTAACAACAGTACTGAGCATACAACTGACATAAAATTAATAAGTAAATTAAGGCACTAATAGTGAAAAATTAAAAGATGAGAAAAAGGCAACAGCCAGATCTTAGACGGCCAGAAGGCTCACACTGACCTCAGAATCTGCTCCAGTCTCTCACTCGGTGCATTTCTGAGGCCCGTCAGCATGGTGTGGAGGCGGCTCAGGCTGTGTGTAGCCGTGGAAACTGGAGTCATACAAGGGCTGTTACCCTTATTGTACCTCACACCAGTAAGTGGCGTGGAAAGTCTAAGTGCTTTAGACTGAAAAAAATAAAAGAAAGAAAAAAACATTATTTTAGGTCAGAAAGACTTTCAATTACTTCACAAATGAGAACTGAAGGCAATCAGACTTTATCTTTACATTATTAACAAATTTTAGTGACTTAAACATCATCATTCTTGGAATTTAAACATAACACTGCTAAAAGACACTATCGTCCGTGTGAAGATGAGTGAAAGGACAACTTATATTTTAGCTAACAAATTTGCCTCTTACAAGTTAAATCTTTAAGATAATGCATATTTCCCTATGATCTCTCCTTCAAGACTTAAGCTTGAAGGCAAAAACAAGCATTAAAAAATTAAGAATACCTTTGAGAAACAGCTAGCACTGCTGCTATTTTTGTAAATACCTGAAGATTGACAAAAGAAAGCTGTGAAATGAATCTGGCTCAAATGAAATCCATGATTTAACACAAGTCCATCTAAAGGATCAAATATGCTTGAGAGAGAGAATAAAAGAAACACTGCTAGGTGCAGGGTACAACCGGAGACAGAATAGTCCTCCTGCCCCCTTTACCGTTAGTTACTATATCCTCCATCACAGTTTTCCCCCCTGAAGTAGACAGAGCTTCACATAAGTTTAAGTCAACATTCTTAAATATAAACATGAAAAAATATGACTTAATGTCAAAGAATTTAAACTTGAATACATTTGTTAATAAAACAACTTTTCTAATTTTTCCAACAAACTCTTAAAGGTTAAGATAGCTTGAGTGTTTTTAGATATTCAAGATAAAGTATATTTCCCTATGTATTATATGTTCTTATTCTAGAGACAGTTGTAAAAAGACCTAGCAAAATTTTCACCTGGCAAGAGAACCATTTAAGTTTGAGATACAAAAAAAAAAAAAAAGTACAGAAATAAATCTATATGCTTTTTGTATGACTTAAACAGCAGACTCAAGACTTCCACTTTGTTTCAAATAAATTAATTCTATATCTTTTTTAGGTCAATGAGATGATCTGGGTAGATTAACGACATTCAGAAGGTTGCTTCCTGCCCCAGCAGCTTCTCTTGCAGCTTCTTCCCCGTATGTGAACCAGTCCCTTGCTGTTGCTCCCCCCGTCTTTACAGAAGCAATAGCAGACAGCAGCATTTTACCGCCTTCCCTACAGAGAGCATTGCTCACACAAAGGAAAGCAGGTATGATGACCACAGCCTCCTGACCACAGTCCTCATCAGCAATGTTTAGGTTGTTAGATTAAAGCTTCCTGTGCGTTACGAACAAGAGGAGTCTTTCTCTAACTCACATATAAATATTAAGTTGATATGTTAAAAATATTAAGATGTTCCTTCTCTAAGTAAAAACTCCTAAATTTTGGAGTGGCCCACAACTCTGTTTTTAGACTTCTACTCTATTCTCTAACAACTCAGATTACCAGTAAATCTCTCTTCATCCATGACCCCTAACCTTTCGATGAACTTCAGTCTTGTATATCTAAACTGCCTTCTCAACTTCTCTGGTAAGATGCCTAAAACATATCTCAAACTTTATATACTCTTAACCCTACCTCTTGATTTCTTTCCCCAGACTTGCTCTTGCACTCAGTAAATGCTAACAGTAAATATTCATGAAGTGCCTATGTGCCCGGCACTGAATACAGCCCTGCTCACAGCCCTCATGAGGGTTATATTCTATGTAGGGATACAGATAATAAACAATTATCTCCATCTATCTATATACCTCTCTCTCTTACTGTCAGACACACAATTCTTTTCTTTCTCCTTACCTACCACCAGACAGTAATAAATGCTAAGAGGAACACTAATCTTGCAGTAGGGGGAAAGAAGTCCTGAGGGTTGGGGAGGATGTTGGAGGTTATTAATTTATCCAGCAGTCAGTCTCAGAGACCTAAATGAAGTGAGGAAATAAACACATGAATACCTTGAAGAAACACTTTCTAGCACAGGAAACAGCAAGCGCAAAGGCTTGGAGTTGGGGTACACTTGGCATGTCTGCGGAATGAAAAAGGAGACTAATTGTGGCATGAGTGGATTGGGTGAAGAGGAAAATGGTAGGAGATGAATTCAGAGAAGTAGCAGGGCAGGATCTCTGAAGATCTTATGGGTATAAGAACTTAAACTTTTATACCATTTACCCAACTGAAGTCATCTGTTTTCTCTCTCTCACACCCTAGATCCAAACCATCAGTAAATCCCATGAGTGCTCTCTCCAAAATACATCCCAAATACAACAATTCCCTTGGTCCAAGCCCCATAAACGATCACCATAATCACTGCAATAGCCTCTTCTCTCTCTTTTTGTTTTGTTAATCCTCACCTGAGAATATTTTTCCACTGATTTTCAGATAAATGGAAGGGAGGGAGGGAAGAAACATGGATGTGAGGAGACACACATCTATTGGCTGCCTCCTACAGGACCCCGGGGATCAAACTTGCAAGCCAGGTATGTGCCCTTGACAGGGGACCCTTCAGTACACTGGCTGACGCTCTGACCGTTGACCCACACAGGCCTGGACACAACAGACTCTTAATTCCCTACTTTCACCCTTGCCCCCAGCCCACCTCCCAGAAGCCCTAGGAAAAGGTAATGAGATTACAGCAGTCACTGTTCCCTATTACCTTCCCAAAGGCTTTCCTCTCAGAGCAAAAGCAAATGTCACCATGGCTGCCACAGCCTGTATGCTCAGCCTGTCCCTTGGGCCAGCCCGACCCTCCATCGGGCACTGCCCTTCACTCACTCCGTTCCCACACCCTGGCATTCTCACTGTTCCTCTAGAACCCAATCGCATGCTCACCGCGTGGCTTTGCACCTGCTGTGCTCTTGGTTCAAAGACATTCCACAGCTACTCACATGACTTGCTGCTCACTTCAGGTCTGTTCATTTTACTCCTGAGGGACAGCTTTGTCACCCACCCTATCCGCTATAGCCCAAGGCCCACCCATTACCCATCTCCCCACTACTTTGTACTATTACTCTATTTTCCTTCCTGTATCATCATCTGATATACATGTATTTATCTTATTTGGTTACTACTGTCTACTTGCCCACACTGGAATATACAGCAGGACATTCATTCTTGGCTGTTCTGTTCCTGAGTATCCCCAGTGTGCAGGATACAATCTGGCATGTAGAATACCTTTAGAATATTTGATGAAAATCAAACCAGTCTTAAGTCTGGTCTTACAGGTGAGTCCCCCTGGAACTGTCCACACTGCCTCTGGAGACACTAGTCAGAGTGAATATTCTGGCAGAACCTTACACAGAAGGGAACTCAGTCTCTATCGTCCTAAGTGTCTGTATGCTATAACACTACATGATCCAAAAACTAAGCTTAAAAGGATTTAATTAAAGCATACAAATTTTCAGCTTCTTTAGTCTCTTACATAAAGGCAGCAAATTAGGTCAATCAATATATTTTAAATGCATTCTATTTTTAATATATAAAGTCTATATTACTGGCTCGTCTTTTCAAAACCAACAATCATCAGAATAAAACATTCACTAAAAAAAATTTTAAATCCTTACCCAAGGATATACTTAGAGAGAGGAAAGGAGGGAGGGGAAGAGAGAGAGGAAGAGGGAGGTAGAGGAGAGAAACAGCAATTTGAGAAACATTGATCAGTTGCCTTCCGTATGCACCCCAATCAAGGATTAAACCTGAAACCCAGGTATGTGCCCTGACTGGGAATCAAACTGGCAACCATTCGGTGCATGGGATGGCACTTAACCAACTGAGCCACTCTGGCCAACCCCATGCATTGAATTCATATGAAATTCTCTTTTACTCAGATCTAACCAAAAGCTTTGAAAGTTGATGTTAACAAAAATTAAATCAGTAAACAAAATCTGAGATAACTCTTTCAATTAAGGTATGATGGGAATTTTCTTTTTCACAATGAAAGCAAGTACAACACACACAACTACCAAAATGAAACGGGACCTCGGCATATGTGCCCTTGTACTTCTAGTCTTCTGGCGGGGTCAGCTCACCTTGTCAAAGTGCTGCTGTAAGATGTTTTTCATCTGCACCCTTTCAGCGGTCTCTATTCCTGACCCAGCATTCAGACACCTGGAGAGGGTCCCAATTTCCTCTTCAGCATCCTCTCCAAGAAATATCCGTTCATCTAAATTCCCAACAGATAAAACATACTCCTCATAGGCCTTATTGATGGCTTTTCTACAGGAAGGGGGAAAAAAAGGCAAAATGTACACTCATAGAACTGCCATTTCAGGTCATGTTTTAGTCCATTTAATTATTTTTCTTTTCTTAAAATTTGCTGTAAGTTCCACTAATTTTGTGAAAGTTTAACTTTAGTGGGATCACTGCTAATTATCAAAGCTGAGGGACATCTGCCCTATGCTTATGCATTGTACACAAACACGTTTTGCTGACAGTTACAGGCCGGTACCCGCACTGATCGGCCTGTAGGGTGCAGCTTCTGGTGAGAAGCGCAGGGATTTCTCCATGCTGCTCTAGCACCTTTCAAGACCTCGGTGCTCCGTATCACTTCTCACGGGTATAGTTCCAAAAGAATTTATTTCAAAAATCATGATCCAGAAGCTTAACTATTAAAGCTTTCAAGAACAGCAATACAATTTTTAATAAATGTTAAAATGTTGTTAGAGTAATAGTTGACCACTAAACTCTAAGGTTTTGTAAGCACACAATTTAATATTAAGATAGTTTTATAACAGAAGTACTCACAAATTATCTCCAAAGTTCCCAGGCTCTAAAAACCCAGTAAGATTTTCTTCTTTTCCCTTAAGGAGCTATGATGAAAAAAAAAAAAAGATCCTTAAGTCACCATATAAATCAAATCTTTCCCCAGAAAATATGTTTACATTACTCCTTACAAACCTTTTTTTCATAAAGTTTCCTTATGTAGGGTTTCCAGAAATGTTCTTTTATTCCCTTTGCTTCCAAAACTAGGCCGTCATGTAAGGAACAGAGTTTCTCAATGACACAAGGTGGGTCGGAGGAAGGTTTACAATCCTTAGCGTGAAAATCTTCGGACAGGCCTATGAAGTGTAGAATCACAGAACAGAGATCTCAAGTAGCATTCAATAAGCCAAAATATAAAGATGCAGAGTCTAATCAGCATATGAGTTACCCCCCATGGGTATATAGGAAATAGTGTATAAGGGCCTAATTTGACTCTAAATATACCTCAAAAATAGCAGAGGTAAAGTGTACCACTACTCAACATTAAATTTACCAAACAAGGAGCAACTGCAGTAACTAACTCCACTAACTTTAAAAATCTGAATATCAGACAAGCTGAAACGGAGCAGGCGAGGGAACAAACCGGACAGGCAAGGTCCCAGCGCCGGCCGCAGCTCTGGCTGCCTGGCAGTGGGCTGCGCAGACCTGGCCATTTCCATACAGCTTTTACTTTAAGAGTTGAAAATTCATTTTCCTTATTTTAGAACAATAACTACTCCTCTGTAGAAAAAAAATCTAAAATGAAAATTCTTTCAGTAAGTCCATTTTGATATCCTACAGTGTGCCAGGCACAAAACTTGCCAATGTAGAAAACCACCACCAATTTTAGGTTTTTTTTTTAAATCCTCACCCGAGGACATTTTTTTCCATTTTTTGTTCAGATAGAGTGGGAGGGAGAGAGAGGAAGAGAGAGAGAGAGAGAGAGAGAGAGAAAAACATCGACGTGAAAGGGACACATCGAGTGGTTGCCACCCACACGACCCAACCAGGGCCGGGGACAAACTGCAACCGAGGTACGTGCCCTTAGCAAGAACTGAACCCAGGTCTCTCTGTACCACAAGCCCACGCTCTAACCGCTGAGCCAAACCGGCCAGGGCACCCACCACCAATTTTAATGTTATTTTCACTACTCCAGATTTCTAAATTCCTTCTTCTTGATAAGTATGTATTTCAGAAACTTCTAGTGGTCATCTAAGACTTTAAACTTTGTGTTTCGCAATTGTTTTTCCCAAAAATATTGTTCCAGGGACCTTGACTCCTAGTTACAAGTACTCTGGAAAGCAATGATGATGGAGCTTTTCAAAGCACTTATGTTCTCCACTGCTAAGAAACCTGCACTATGTATAAAACTCTCAAGACTAAATATAATGTAGAAATGAGTTATTCAATAATCTTTGATTTACCAACTTACCTTTAAAATTAGGGTTCACAAGTTCTTTACGATTGGAACATTGAAGGGCATTTCCATAAACTAAGTCCAAAGCACACAGCAGAAGATGATAGGAATTGACTAAATCATCACTAATCATGGGGAAATTGCCTATAGTATTATAAAGAGTTAGAGAGTTAAAAACACATCAACATTACAGTATTTTAAAAATAATTTTTTCCTTTAGTTAAAATGACATTATACAACACTGTACACAAAGCATACTCAAGAATACATAAAGTGTTTGGCAAATTTACATTTTCAAATATTACTCTTATAGTTTAACAAATTTCTTAGAGTTTAATGAAAACTAATACTTTACTAAAAATTTCATTTGTTTGCTCAGCATTCATTAAATAAAAATTTATTAAATGCTTGGTAGTTGACCAAAATTTTATCACCATTGATTTTTCCTTTGAAAATTCAGAACGCAAACAACTTCATAAATGACCTCAAACTGTAAGAAATGATTTTATATGAAAATATTTGTGTCAAGAAAATTAATAGAAATACTTATGTAAACAGCTGAAAAAATTACTCATATAATTACTGTTCATGTATGTACTTTAAAAAGACCATAACCTATAATTAAGTTCCTAACAGTAACACTTTAAATGCTTTCCTACATATGAATACGAGGTCATACAAATTGATTTCGCAGGATCACAATGAAAGATATCTGAGCTCTAGAGCTGGTACGCCACAAACTTCTGATGCTTGATAATGAAGAAAAAGAAAATTTAACCTATAAAAACATGTCACTTCTGTAGTGCTGGCTTCAGTCTGACTTTGAAAACAGTTTTTACAGGCAGTTAACAGCTTTACTATTCTGAAAAATTAAGGCATATTTCTAGTTTTATAACTTTGAGCAAATCCCTTTTTTCATTAAACACTGCATATATATGCTTCATATTGATTTTACATTCTTATAACATAAAATGAATTCAATTTAAATATCTAACAGACATCCAAAATAATTATTTCTAAACCTCATCATTTTCACACTTAATGCCTACCCAAATGCATGCTCACACACACATATTCACACTGCTTTGTTTCAGACTTTTTTCTCTCCTTTCTGTCAAAGAAAGTCACTGCTTAACTCAGCAATATCAGAATATGTAATTCTATTTTGTATAAATGGAAATATTCAACAAATCAACTTAAATAAGTTAACAAGAAAATAAATATTTTTCTGTTACCAGAAAGGCAAATGATGATTAATAGGTTAAATATTACATTGATATAACCACACTAATTTACGTGGTTCTACTATAAATATGTTTATTAAAATATACTCGGTTCATGCTCAACCAGAGTGGCTCAGTGGTTGTGTCGACCCTGCACCAAGAGGTCATCAGTTTGATTCCTGGTCAGGGCACATGCCCAGTTTGTGGACCAAATCCCCATGGGGGGCATGCAGGAGGAGGCCAATCGATGTTCTCTCTCATCAATGTTTCTATCTCTCTCTCCCTCTAAAATCAATGTAGAAAAAAAAATTAAAATAAAATATGCTTGGTTCTTACATGGAAACCAGAAAGTGGTAGCACCTAATGGTTTCAAGCCACAAAGCCCATCCTACTGACCAGCCTAAACTTGTCACTGGTGTGTACTTGCCCTAGAAGGAAAAACCCGCAGCACTGTAACTTCTAAGAAAGAGCTGGAATGCCTCTGAAGATCAGAATCTGAGTTAAACTCCAGGACTGTCCCCAGGTGACATACTTGACATTTCAAATCTTAACTTTATATCTCACTGTGAGATATTTCATCTTTCAATCAACAACAACAACAAAAAACCTGTTTAACCTACAGAGTTGGCTTATTTACTGGAATGAGAAGATTTGGGTTTTCATACAAAACAGGGAGTGGCGCCTGTTGGTCTTCAGGCCACAATGTCCCTCACAAGGACAAGCCCAAACTTGTCCCTGGTGTGTACTTGCCATAAAAGTCAACAAAGGGAACAGGCAAAAAGTTGGCTTATCAAGAATGAGACAATCTGGGATGCCCATATGTTGTAGAAAAAGTCATGAGAAAGGAGTACATCTCCCCCAAATAACTACATCAAGAACTGAATAAAACCGATTAAACTGCTCTCTTAGAAAAGATCCTAGAGAATCATAAAAGATCATAGTCCTGGATTGTGCGGGAACAATGGCTGTTCAGATCAAGCACTTACACTGAATTAATAAAAAAAACTCAAACACTTAGCAGAGACAAAAAAATATGCCACCCTAAGTTAATCAAGTGAGACCAAAATTGACATAGGGGCAATAAAATTCTTTTAAAATAATACATGTAGTACATTTACTCCCAATTACACATATGCCATAAAAGACATAAACACAACAAAAATCTTGAAAGTCAGATATACCTGCCCACAACCAAAAGACAAAATTAACCTCATACATGCAATACCACCACAGCAAGCTAAAAGTGGCAGCAGCAGCAGCCACTATGAAAACAGCTTACATGCTCCTTAGCCTTTCTTTATTTCCTGCTGTGATCATATCACCTTTGCCTCCACTAAAGAAACATGTCAGTGTGGTGAAAAGTAAAATGTCTAAGAGCTTGTTTTTAACATAAGATTTTTCTCTTCAACGAAGCATGCAGCTCAGGGAAGGAAGAACTTTCAACTAGCTAGCCAGAAAGGAACAGTGATAATCAGATAAATCAAACAGCAAGACCAATGGAGTGACATATCCTTGCTGGAGAATCTGTACCTCCAGCATGAAACCAAGAACTAGGAGATCTGGGTTCAAATCCTACCTGTTTCTAGTAGCTAGTTTCTGGGGCTCAGTTACCTAATCTTTAAATAACATGGGTAGTTGATCTAGTAATGAGACTCTCTTTTATTTATGAAACTCCTTGCAGCTCTATGATTTTAACTTTGCATTTTATTAGGCTATCTTAATGGCAAAGGCATTCTTCATAGTCTCAAGAAAAAAGGTAGGTAACTTGTGTAACCATACTTTCATAGGTAGATTAAATGAGATGAGAAAAAGGGGAGAAAATAAATTGTATCTAAAGGCATTGATCAAACAACTGAGGATGATCAATCCCACTCAACTACATAAGACTTGTCTTGTGAAAAATACAGCTCAAGATATAAGCACAGACACACTAATGTATATTCAGTCCATAATTCAGAAGAATAGATTTGGGTGGAAAAGACACTGTATTGTATAAGAATAAAATTTAAAATGTTTCCATTTAATAAGAGTAGTTTTTGGGTTTTATAAAGAAATCCAAAAGACTTATGAAAACAGGCAATACCTAGAAAAGAATCTGTGAATAAAACCATTGAGAAATTTTTCAGTGAGAATCTTTTCCTGATACACATTATAGGTTGAAAAAAGTAGTACCCAAACATTTAAATAAACTAATATCTAAATAAATATTACTCTTTTCTTACCTTTTGCATATATAAAAAGCACCCAACAAAATTGGAAAACTTCAGACACGGTACAGGGCTGTCGCCTTTAGAGGAGAAAAAAGTCAGGAGATTAACAGAATTATAAAAAGACATCACAAATGACTATAAATTAGATGAGAAACAAAACCCCCAGGTAGATGAAATGACAACAGATCCGCTTCACAGAAAAAATGTGCAAAAAGTTCTACTCCAACTATATACTGGTAAGGAATTAGCTGGGAGCCAGGGAAAGAGCTCATCTTAGAAGAAAATTTTAAGTAACAGAAGCTTTTTGAAGTCAAGATAGGTAGGGTAGAAAATAAAACGAGTAACAAGAGTTCTTTCAGTGGCATCATCAAGGCTAATGCTGCTTTAAGACCCATGTATGCAGTCAGTATTTCCCCAACTTTTCCCCTCTATCATAGCTAATGAAATATAAACCCTCCATTCCCAAGAACATTCCAGATTATATCAAGTCACAAAAGTAATTTTTTTTTTTTATCCTCACCCAAGGACATTTTTCCATTTTTTGTTCAGATAGAGTGGGGATGGGGGGGCGGGGGGGGGGGGACAGAGACATCGCTGTGAAAGGGACACATAAAGTGGTTGCCATCCACACTACCCAACCAGGGCCGGGACAAACTGCTGCAACCGAGGTACATGCCCTTAGTGGGAACCGAACCCGGGTTTCTCTGGACCGCAGGCCGACGACACTCTACCACTGAGCCAAACCGGCCAGGGCACAAAAGGAATTCTTAATGGAAAGTCTGAGTTTCCTATCATTCCTTATCCTTTAGTATTAAGAGTACCTGTTGTATTTTGCCAAGTTGTCTGCTAAAGGGAGGTTCAGACCTGTTTTAACCTTGCCTTTTCTGCCAAAACCTCTGCCAATGTGTGGATAAGACATCTGTTGTATCCACATCCCAATAGCCGTATTCTAATAAAGCACTTTGAAGAGAAGAATCAGGAGACTGAGGTTTAGTTCTTGCACTGTCATTCTGGACTTAATTCACCCGTCCCTGGCAAGGACTAAATGTCAGTGCCCTGCTGTAAAAATCAGCTTCCTGACCATAGGCACATGATAAAACACCTCGTTTTGATGGCTGTCAAGATAAAAGCCAAACTTTTTAGCTTAACACTCTAAAAACTGACTCTATAACGTGAAACCTCTAGAACAAACTGCATGGAAGGCTTTATCTATACATTAGTGCATGCTTATCTGTACAGGATTCTTCCAAGACCTCTCCAGTGGATTCCTGAAACTGCGATGGTACCAAACCCTATATACACTATGTCTTTTCCTTCATATATTACCTTTTCACTTAATGGAAGCATTTTATGGCTTCTCTTTGGCATATCCAAATTGCCTGCATCACTACTCTTGTCCTTTGGGGCGGTGATTACGTAAAATAGGGTTAAGGTGATACAGAAACAATGATCTGATAAACAGAGACTGCAACTAGTAACTACGGATGGGAGCTAGCCAAAGGGATGATTCATGTCCTGGGTGGGACAAAGCGTGATTTCACCATGCTACTCAAAATGACATGCAATTTACAACTTATGAATTATTTATTTCTGAAATTTTCTATTTAATATTTTCAGACCACAGCTGACGTGGATAACTAAAACCAAGGCAAGTGAAACTGGGAATAAAGAGGGGACTACTGTATCTCCAAATTCACCTATCAAAATCCTACTCATCGTTGAAGACCTATTTCTATTTATTCCATGGAGCCTAACCGGACTGTCCCATATACAGTGGTTTATTTGTGCCTCAGAAGTCCTACATTTCTATTACCTTTTGCATTTCTATATGCCTCCTCTCCCCACTATACTGTAAGCTTTCAAAAGACAGTGCCAGTGGCTCAGTGGTTGAGCGTTGACCCATGCATCAAGAGGTCGCCGGTTCAATTCCCGGTCAGGACACATGCCCAGGTTGTGGGCCCAATCCCCAGTGGGGGGCATGCAGGAGGCGACCAGTCGATGTTCTCTCTCATCAATGTTTCTATCTCTCTCTCCTTATCCCTTCTTCTCTAAAATCAATAAAGAAAAAAAAAATTTTAAAAAAGAAGACAGTGTCAGTGCATTTTTTTTCATATTTGTGTCCTACATTATACCTAACAAAGTACTTTACACAGTAAATTCTCAATAAATACTCAGTGGCAAACTTTCAAAGTCTGCTGTGTGTGATATCCATGGTAGTCACAGTAAACATGGTTTCTACAGGCAGACTATGTGAGTTGCAATAACAGCTCCACACTTAGTCACTGTGTGACCTTGGTCAAATTACTTAACCTCTCAAGGCCTTATTTTCCCCCACCTGTAACAATATCAACCTCATACATGTGTCATAAAGATTAACTGAAATACATGTTTAAGTCTTAGAAGAGTTCCTGTACTATAATACTCACTAAATATTATACATTATTATTACTATTAGCTAAAAGCACTAATAAAAAGTATATAGGGTAATATATGCATAAAATTTTAAAAGTCTTACAATTTTCTTAGAATTAAATAGTATATATACCCTAATAAATAGCAAAGAAAGAAAAAACTGAAATCATTTTCTATGACATTCCAAAGAAAGAAAATATTCTGTATCATTCCATAAATGACCACCTCAGCATCACTCAGTCTCAGAACAAAGCTCTATCCAAAATTTAGAACACGTAATTATAAAGTCAATTCCCTAAAACTACAAGCAAACTAGAAGAGCTGCTTCTCATAGTAGTGGGGTTAGCTATATAAAAATGTACATTTGTTTTATTTGTAAAAGCTACTCGCTTACTGTAAACATCCCTCACAATTTGGGGAAATTTTTATATTAAAAGAGAAACAAACACTATTCATCCAATTATATTAACTGTTTCGCCCTTACTTTTCTTGTCAGCATTTTTCTAGTTCCATTTCAGGAAAAACTTTCCATTTCTACTTTCTAAAAAAAGCTTTTGTGATAAAGGTAGAGAACTTGTATCTGTAATTGTCCACATCTATCAGAAAAAGTGAAAAACACTGGGTCCAAGTTAAGTTTGTAGACTTCGCAGACATGATCAAAAGCATACATACATAATAGTTTCTGCTCCCCACTGTCCCCCCAATCCAGCTTGACTCTTGATTGATTGGTTGTAAACATCGAAATATACAGAAAAGAAAATTCATGAGATTATGTAGTATTCAATTTGACATAAAAGTCAAACAATAGAAATAGTCAGTATATAACACAGAAAAAATTATAGAAATAGTCAATAATAGAAAATCAAGTAGTCAAATTCTATACTCAAGGTGAAAATATCTGTATTCTGACTTTTGCATTTTTGGCTACTTAAATTAAAAGTAGAAGTTTATATGAAAAGGGATTCCAAACATTTTGCAATATGAAAGAAGCTAAACCCTTCCTGGCTGACATATAATGAAAAGCAAGAAATTATTATCAAAAGAAAGCTATTAGAGAAAAAAGTTACTTATGAAGCCACATTCGTTTTTTTTTAAGGCTAGCAAAATAAGCTGCAGAACAAAAACGAGGGACCACACTGTAGTACAGACAGATGTGCATTCCTAGCCAACAAGGATAAACGCATACCTCTGTTTTCTTCCTCGCTGTTGACGAGGTTGCTCCCCTTGAGGATGTTTAAAAATTTCCTGAAAAATGGGTTCGTATTTCTTAAAAATTACAGCAGAAACAGTGAAGTTTCTTTCTAATCTCTCAGTACGTTCTCTGAAATGTTGGGGTAGATTTGCCATCTCTTCCCATTTCTTCATCTTGTTGAAAAATTCAATTAAGCTAATATTAAAAATAAAAAAGATATTTTCTAAATTAACACAAGTATACAAATATATTTAAAAGTAAATAAAAATTAACTCATTAAATTACTTTTAGACAGTGATATAAAATCAAAACTCATGCCTCTAATTAGCTTAATCTCCTACAGTTTGATTTCTCTGATCTTCCTAATCAATTTTTATTCTCACATTACCTGAGTTCTCTTAAAATTCTAAAATAAATTTAAAAACTAACAAAAAAATAATTAACCAAAAACACAACCAACATTCATATAACCAATTGTCAGATTTAACAAATATTAACATAGTGAATAAATCCTGCCATGTCCACTTCAGGTTCTACAGAAACAGCCATAGTTCCCATATGTACTCCTGCCCAGCAATCTCATTCCCCCCTCTTCCTGGAAGATAAACACCATTCTACAGTTAGTCTGAATCCTTCCCATCCATGTTTTTATAGTTACTACTTACTAGAGCTACTATATAGATATATTTGTATCCATACAAAGTAAGCCGAATTTTTTGTGTGTGGTTAAAAGTTTATATAAATGGTGTCATATTGTAAGTAGCATTTTACAACTTGCTTTTTCATTCAGTAATGTTGCTGAGATTAATGTTGATCTAATACATTCATTTTAATTGCTAAAAATATTCCGTCATATAACAGACTGAAGAATAGGGTAGACCCAGAAACATGGAAGTAGGGTACAGACTGACAACCCTCAGAAGAGGGGGTGGTGGGGGTTGGGAGAGATAAACCACAGAACTTATATGCATTTATGCATACCAATGGACATGGAAAACAAAGCTGGGGATGGGGCGGGGGGGGGGGGGGGGTATCAATGGGGTAAAAAAGGAGAAACATCTGTAACAAAAATAAAATATAACTAAAAATAAAAATATTCCGTCATATAACTACCATGATTTTTTGCATTCATTCCCCAAGCAACTGAAGCTGAGGGTTTAATTCTTATTACAACTAAAAATGCTGTAATGAATACATTCTTGTACATATAAGAGTTTCTTTACCAACTGGCTGAAGAAGTAGAACTGCTGAGTCAGAGAAATGTGCATTCAACTTTACTAGATACTACCAAATTGCCCACTGAAGTGGTTTCCTCAATTTATACTCTCAGCAATGCACATCAGTAACACAGAGTTTCTGTTTCCCTACATAATGACCAATGCTGGTATTATCAGACTTTATCCCCAATCTAAGGAGAATGAAATGTTATCTTTTTACTTTGAACTTCCTTGATTACTAGTGAGACTGATCATCTTTGTATCTACTGGCTATGTGAGTTTTGCCCTTTATGAAGTCATATTATTTACCCATTTTTAGTAGCAGTTTTTCAATTATCTAACCATTTGTTAATAGTTCTTTATATAATTGTGGATATTAATCTTTTCTCAGTTAAGTGCATTGTAAATATCATCTCCCAATCTGCTTTGTTTTAATCCATTTAGTTCATTATAGCCAAAAAAGTAATCTGAACCCATAGGTAAAAATTTAAAGGTAAAAACTGAATTTTTCAAATGGAAATAAAACTGAAGCCCAAGACTTCAATAATACATTGAACACAAATAATACATTATTTGCATTTAAAAGTTAGATAAGTTTCATTAACTATAATTTATAATAATGATTTTATAATTTGACCTTTGCTTCTCAAGTTCCCTGTCACTTAACTAGATTACTCTCCTTCTACTTTCTTTGTAATGATTATATTTTTGCACTTTATTTAAGACCACTTCTCCAGGTTTACACCCGAGGTGTTCACCTCTTATGCACTGCCTCTTGTTCTTAGGCCTAAACATGACTCAGGATGGAGCTCAAAGTCAATAAATAGACTACAGCTAAAATATTACATTTCTTGTCAATTATTTTAATAGTGGTTTTTTTTTAAACCATTCATAAATTGTGCCAAGTGCTATTTACCCTCCAAAATGCCAAACATCTTTTTTTCCACCAATCTTTAATCAGCCATAGAAAAAATTCACCCAAAATGCATAAATAATAAATGTAATCAATTCAATTACACAACGAATAGAAAAAGCAATTTCTAGCCTGGCCAGTGTGGCTCAGTGGTTGAGTGTTGACCAGTGCACCAAGAGGTTGCCAGCTCAATTCCATCAGGACACATGCCCAGGTTGTGGGCCAGATCCCCAGTGGGGAGCATGCAAGAGGTGGCCAATTGATGTTCTTTCTCATCAATGTTTCTCTCTCTCTCCCTTCCTCTCTCTCTCAAATCAATAATAATAATAAAAAAAAAGTTAAAAAAAAGAAAACGCATTTTCTACTTCTTCTTTAAAGCATTATTTGACCCCTTTTATAACTAAGTATAATAGTGTTGCTTATATCCCAAACAAGAAACTCAAAAATATTTACACATTCCATATATATTAAGATACAAGTCCTATGAATGTAGTTCTAAGTGTAATGCCATGTAATATTTTATTTACCTTTTCAATCTGGAGTATTTCCTAAAGTTTCTCAATACCCTTATTTGGAATTCTTCAATATTACGGAATAAGACAATCTTTAAAAGTAAACTCTTCATACAACTGCCTACTTAATACATTAAAATTTAAATATTTTTCACCAAAGAAGTAAAACATAATGGATACTACTTAGATGTGGTCAAGAAAAACCATGACCTAGGTTCAAAATTCAGCACTCCATAGGTACAGATGATCAAAAAATGATGAACAAAGAGAATTCTTACTACCACTATGACTTAGGAGCTTTTATAGTAGTCATACTATTTTCCAAACTCTAACATAGTTACCTCTGCTCTGAACATCGAAGAAGTCTAGTTAAAGATACATAGTTTCCTTCAGCTGTCCCTTTGCTTACAGTTGGCACAGATTTTCTGCAAGCCACATATAAGGCACATGCTAACCAATGAAGATCATTTCCCTATAAAATAAAAGAAAATTGATAGTTAATGAGCTATATATATATTTCAATACAAAAACAACTCTTATGTTTAAATGGAAAGTGACATTTATTATGATTTTGGGGAACTGTGTTTTCAGTGATGGCCCTATATCATGTGCTCTTCTTATGACATTCTTCCACTGAGAGGCAGGAGTGTATATTTTGCTCACTTTGAACTCAGGCAAAAGTGATACTATGTAACCTTTCAGATAATAAAAGGCAATACAGATTCCACCTGGTTTTCTGTCAGAACACTGCCTTGGGAGGATCAACATAGGAGAGCACCTGGGGCAAGTTGCTTAACAGTCATAGAGGCTCAGTTTCCTGTCCTGGCCAGTTTTGCTCAGCGGTTAGAGTTGGCCTGTGGTCCAGAGGCTCAGTTTCCTTATCCGAGTGCTGTGAGAATTAAATGAGCTATAAGTACGAAGCACAGAAACATGTACGAAACCAAAAGATAAAGTAACCAGTGTTCTATATTAAACATCACATTCTCTTATAGCATACCTGACTACAAGCTCTACAGGGCAGGGGTTTTAAAGTTTTGTTTACTGGCCTATTCTCAGAACCTACAACAGTGTTTGGCAAAGAATAGGTAATCAAAAAATATTTAATACACGAATGACTATTCATTCATTTACTGGGTAAGCTGGGCTAAGAGTCTGAGACCAAAGTCATAAAATGAAGTAATGAAACCTGTTTTCAAAAATAATTTACTAACCATCTTTTATTTGTCACTTGCTCATATAACACTGGTCTTCACGACCTAACCTCTGAGTTGAAATATCTCAAATGCACAGTGATAATGCTTGTTCTATGTAATTCACAGGTTTCTCCTGAGGGTAAAATAAGAGCTTATTTGGAGGCACTTAGGCGCATGACCAAAAAGAATTCTTCTCTTTGCCTGACCCCAGAAACTACTGGGAATTAAACAGGAACATGGCCTGTTCAGCCAGATCACCTAAGTAGATGAAAGAATTTTGTAGCCTCTTACAGCACTGTCCATACGAATGCTTTATGTGCCCAAAACTATATATTATTACCTTATTTAACCTCCAGGACAACTCTGTGACTTAGGTACAAATATCTTAATTTTACATATCACAAAATTGAGTTTTGGGGTAGTTAAGTAAATTTTCCAAAGTCACCTAGATCTGTCAAGTGCTAAAGCCACTATTGTACTAGCTTTTCTTTTTTCCTGTACATATAACAATGGGGAGAAAGAACTGAATTAAAATCTTATTAAAGCAAAAATAACTAAAAAAATAACCTTAGTGGCACGTAGCCAAAAATACCCTAGTATAAATACCTTGGTAGGCCTTCCCATCCTGAGCCTACTTGCCCTACCCTTTCCACAACCTGTAAAACAACTTCAGAAAATCACGTGGCTTCCTGTTTAAAGGCTACACACACAGGCAACGAAACAGCTGATAAACAACCCAGACTTCCGTGTCACTTCCCATTGGCCCATAAAGGGGAGGGGCCTACGAGACTCGAGCCTCACTGGCTAGAAAGAGCATTTTTCTCATCTGCAGGCCCGGTCCGAAGAAGGGACACAACAGGCCTAAATCACAGCGACTATGAGTCCTGTGCAATGTCTGGGGTGGCCAAAAGGTGTTCAAGGTCGCCGCAGTCCTGCCTTCTAAGTGACCAAGGCGGGCGTGTGCAGTGTCCAGGTGGGCAGAGCAAGCCCGTTTCATTTGCACGGGGGGGAACTCCTCTCGTTCACACGTACGTAAACACAGCCCGAAAACGAACGCGTTTCTTCAAACGGATGCACTGCCTGGACAAAGGCAATCTGGGTCCGCAGAAAAGGCAATGGAGGAGAAACCCAGAAACCCTACACGCGGGTTAGTCACTGTGCGAACGCAGGCAAGTCCCTCCCCTCCTCCGTGCGGGCTCCCCACCGCACCTGTTCGTTCTGCCCACCACAGGCTGTAAATGCGGAATCACGACCCCAGCACGACCTCACCCTCGCGACGCTGCCTTAATGCAACAGGTGTTCCCCGTTCGGAACCCAAAAGGGAAGAGCAGCAAGACGGGGTTCGCCTCCAGAGCCACCAAGAGCTTTTCAAAACCCAGGTTTCCAGGACCAAGTGCGCAGATTCCCACCCCGGCGCTGTCGGAGGGTCTCGGCGGGGTGCCGGACCCGGGGTGAGAGGGGCCCCCCACCCCCGGCCGGCGTGACGACTAGGCCCGGGAAGCCCCTCGTCCCCACCCCCCGCGGGCGCACCTCCAGCGTGTAGCTCTCGCTCATGCTCCGGTAGCTGTCCCAGGCCTCGGCCCGCGCCGCCTCGTCCATGTTGAGGCGGCAGCAGAGCTCGTCGAACCGCTGCTGGGTCTGAGGGGTCTGCGACCGACCCGGCTGCGCGGCGTCCTCCACCTCCCCGTCGTCGTCCTCCTCCTCCTCCGAGCCTGCCGCCGCCGGAGGGGGTGGCGGGGGCGGCGGCGACTGGTCTCCTCCAGACGGCATAGCGCACCCCGGGACGGCCGGTCTTCAGGTGAGCAGAGGACTCCGGCCCGGAGCCATTCAAACCGCGAAGTGCCCGCCCGTCGGCCGCTTATACGGCTCCTGCGCCGCAGCCGACGGCACGTGATCTCACGTAGGCGGCGTGGTTCTGAGCAGGGCCTGCAGGGAAATGTAGTCCGGGCCGGGGGCTCACGATGGTCAAAAATCATTAAAAAAAAAAATCAGTGTCATCTCGACTGGGAGGAACTAAAAGCGGCTTCTCTGCATTTTAAGTATTTGCCCATCGTGAGACCATTCTGCAGGGATGGGCTGTTGAACAGAAAACATCCCAGAAACTTTGACCTGTGAAGGTTTCATATCCAAGCTGTCTCCAGAAAGAAGACTCATCCCCTCGGCGTCCTTATTTTAAAATAAAGACTAGCAAGGGCCTGTCTGCCAAAGTTCATGTTCGGCCTCGCTCCTAACTTCTAGTTTTTAACTAAATTTAAATTTTATTTGAACCTTTTAAATAATTACTGGAGTTTTTAAAAAGCAGTCATTTCTTCCACCGCCCCGACAGGGTCAATTTATGTTCACTGTGACATGTTTGCACTATGCTCAGGCACCCTACTGACTTGACTTTATTCCTTAGTATTTATTTTGCTTCCCCTTTTCCTGTGCATAGACTTGAATCCTTTTATTTTCAATCCTCTTTGGTTTATAGTGTACAACATTTTCGTGCTTGCAGAGCCGGAAGGCAATGTGAACTGAGGACAAGAAATACTGGGAAAAACCCCGAGTTTCAGGAAACTTGAGCGGGAGCCAGGAACATAGCTCAGGACGCCTGGAGGCAGAGAGGAGCTGGGGAAAGATAACAGGACGCCCAGGGACAATTTTGAGATGACAAAACCTTACACGTAAAACATGAGGTAAAATCCAGTCATTCGAGATGGAGTTGCATTCTTGGTGCTCTGAGATAAGGTGATCAAGGGCAAGAACAGAGGTCGAATACATCTGCTTTATAAGTATTTGTAAATACGTTTATAAGAAACTCCAGTGCTTTCCTTATTCTTAGGCTGGGAAATACTAAATTTTAGAAGAATGACATTGCTTATTTTGGACACCATCAACACTTTAGATGAAAATTATGAATTGTTTAGAGGTAAAATTCTGTTTACCATTTTTAGTAAAATTTAATGTAATTGAAGTAAAATTTATGATAATAAACCATCAAATGTTTTATAAAAATATGCTTTGCTTGGTAATACCAATATTTTTAAAAACAGTGGACACTAAATATCATAGTATTTGATACTATCATCCATTTTAAAGGTACATTTATAAAACTTTACTAGAAATTTTGTATCATTCCTGTTTCTCCTTTACCTCATTCCCATTCTACTATTCCATCAAAAGTGTATCCTACTATTTTGTGCTTGAAAGTCTGTTCTTGATCTTTCATATTTCCCCCTCATGAAAAATGTACAAATTAATTTTTAAGTATCCTTGTTTATTCTTTTTTTCCTTTTAATCCTCCCCCGAGAACATTTTTCCATTTTTTGTTCAGATAGAGTGGGAGAGAAAGAGAGAGAGAAACATCGACATGAAAGGGACACATCGAGTGGTTGCCACCCGCACAACCCAACCAGGGCCGGGGGGACAAACTGCAACCGAAGTATGTGCCCTTAGTGGGAACCGAACCCGGGTGTCTCTGGACCAAAGGTCGATGCTCTAACTGCTGAGCAAAACCGGCCAGGGCTACTTGTTTATTCTTTTGTCAGATTCATTGAGGTATAATTTGCACGCACTAAGTCATTTTTAAGTGTACAGTTCTAGGAATTTTGACAAATACAGTCATGTCCACTGCAATCAAGATACGGACCATTTCCATCACCCAAAGTTTCCTAGCGTCCCTTTGTAGTGATCCCTCCTCACACAGCCCCCAGCAAACACTGATCGGTTTTCTGTCCCCATAGTTCCCTATTTCCAAAATGTCAAATAAATGTAATCAGACATTATGTAGCTTTTGAATGGGCTTCTCTCAACTTAGCACAATGCCTTTCAGGTTCATTCAGGTTGTTGCATGTGTCAATCGTTTGTTCTTTATTTTTATTAATCTTCACCGGAGGATACTTTTTCCATTGATCTCCAGAGTGGAAGGGAGGGGGGTTGAGAGAGAGAGAGAGAGAGAGAGAGAGAGATGGATTCAAAAGACATGTCCATGGATTGGTTGCCTCCTGCCTCCTGCATGTGCCCTGTCAGGAGCGGGATCAAACCTGTAACCCTCAGGTTCAGGGGCCAATGCTCTAACCACTATGTATCGCTGGCCAGGGCTGTTCTTTAGTTTTATTGTTAAGTCATATCTATTGCATGAATGTCCCACCACTTACTTAACCATTCATCCAGGTTGTTTCAAGTTTTTGGTGATTATGAGAAAAGCTACTAATTTACTTGCATGTGTATGATTTTGTGTGACATAAATTTTCATATAATCCAGCAATTCCACCCCTGGATATTTATCCACAGGAAACAAAATCACTATCTTAACAAGATGCTTCCTCCTCTATATTGATGGCACCATTATTTACAATAGTAAAGATATGTAAACCTGCTCATCAACAGATGGATAAAGAAAAAATATACATATACACAATAGAATATTATTTAGCCATATAAATGGAAATTCTGCCATTTGTGACACGGATGCACCTTGAATACATTATATATATGTGAAATAATTCAAACAGAAAAATAAAAATACTGTATAATCTCATATGTGGAATCTAAAAATAAAAAACAACAGCCCTGGCCCTGGCCAGATTGGCTCAGCAGTTGAGCGTCAGCCTGCGGACCAGAGTCCCGGGTTCAGTTCCTGCTAGGGGCACATACCAAAAACAACAAAAAAAACCAGCCCTGGCTGGTGTGGCTCAATTGGTTAGAGAGGGTTGTCTGTGCACCAAAGGGTCTCGGATTAGATTCCCAGTCAGGGTGTGTGCAAGAGGCAAATGATCAATGTGTCTCTTTCACATCAATATTTCTCTCTCTCCCCCTTCCTCCATCTAAAAATAAATAAATAAAAAATAAGAGACAACAAACTCAGATACAGAGAACAGACTGGTGGTTGCCAGAGGCAGGAGACAGGGGAGTGAGGAGTGGTTTAGAGCGAAATAGGTGATGGTGGTCAAAAGGTACAAATTTCTCAACTTGTAAGTCCTGGGGATGTAATATACAGCATGGTGACTATAGTTGATGATGCTGTATTGTATATTTGAAAGTTGCAGAGAGAGTACATCTTAAAAATTCTCATCACAAAAAAATTTTGTGACTCTGTGGTAATGGATGTTAATTAAACTTAAGGTAATAACCTCACAATGTAGACATATATCAAATCATCGTTGTACACTTAAAATTAATACGTCAATTATCTCAATGAAAAAATCAACAGTGGTTATTAAGAGGTTTGTTTCTTGGGTTCTGATTATTCACTCACTCAGCCAGAGCGCCTGCCATCCAACCATTCAAATATTCAAATGTTTAGGCAGTGCCTATTGCATGGTATGTCAAGTACTTTGACAAGCACTGAGTATAGTAGTGAATGAGACAAGCAAGGTCTGCCCTCACTGAGCTAGCGATCTCATAGGTAAGAGACCTAGAACAAGTAATTGTCAAGTGTAAATATGAAAAAGATATTCAGGGAGCTATAGGAGTGCATCATAAGAGACCTTAAGCCTCTGTGTGTGTGTATGGTGGGCGGGGGGCTGAATAATTAGGTATTAAATAAATTATACTGCATCTATATATTAGAATGAGAAAGTCCTTAAAAATGTTTTTGAAGATTCTTTAATGACATGGAAAGATAATCATGATATAGTAAATGAAAAAAAGGTTACAAAATGATATGTACAGTATAACGCCATTCTTATTAAAATAATATATACTATGTATCTGCAAAGAAAAATGACCCAACAGTTAACAATTATCTGAGTGTACAGCATTATGGGGACTTTTGTTTACTTTGTGCTTTCCCTACTTCCCTTCCCCTCCCCCAGCTTTTCTGTAATATGCATGTCTTGCTTTTTACTAAGAAAAAGAATTTAAAAATTCATCAAGATGTTATTTTTTGCCTATTAATTTGGCAAATGTTATTTCAAAGGACAATACACAGTATTGGTAAGGATTTGGGGTAAATCAACATTCACAAAATGTACCCTGCTAATGGTAGTATAAGTTGCTACTAATGGCATCATTATAAACCTGGCAAATCAAAATCCTTAAAAACATAGGAAGTATTTTCACTTCTAGGGATTAAGAAAATCATTGGGGATAGATGCAAAAATGCATATATAAACCCAAATGTCTATTTTTAGGTACATGGTTAAATAAATTACATTGGTATGAGCCAATACTAAATCATTAAGAATATTAAAAATCACATTGCAGGATACTTATTGACATAGGTCAGTATATGAAGGGCTGAAGAGTAAATATTATGCCCCAGAAAATACTGATTTAATATGAAAATGTGTTAGTTTCCTAGGGCTACCATGACATATTACCACAAACTGGGTGGCTTAAAACAGAAACTTATTCTCTCAGTTTTGGAGGGTAGAAGTCCCAAACCAACGTGCTGACAAGGCTCGTCTTCCGGAGGCTCTGAAAGAGAATCTGTTCCGTGCCTCTTCCGGCTTCTGGCGGCTGCAGGCAACTCTTGGTGTTCCTTGGCTTGTAGCTGCATTGCTCCAATCTCTGCCTGTTGTCTCATAATCTTCTTCACTATGTCTCTCTGTGTCCTCACTACTTTTATGAGGATACGTCACTGGATTTAGGGCCCACCCTAATCTAGTATGATAGCATCTTAACTAATTACATCTCTCAAGACTATTTTCAAATAAGGTCACATTCTGAGGTTCTCGGTTGACATACATTTTTGTAGGACACTAATCAACCCACTACATGTATATAACATACATATAAAAAAAAATAGGAAATCTATACCAACAGTATTTTTATCTCGGAGTGGGTTTATGAATGACTTAAATATTTTTGTGTTTTTCTACACTTAAAAATAAATAGCTTATGTACTGGAGTTACATTTATGTAGGGTTTAAGTTT